GCGCGTGCCGGTTCGTGATGATGATAGTTTTTTTTTTGTTCATCGGACAAAGAACGACTTGACAAACAGCTTCACAAAGCGTCACGTGATTCTTCTACATCGGCAAGCCAATTAACTCCCTCTGAATCCGCCCCTTCCAACCAGTGCGCTGTGCATGCTCAGTAGAATCAGGCTCCCGTAGCGCCAGCCACAGACGCAACCAAAGCGAGCTGACCAACAGTAGCGCTTGACGGCAGGCTGGACCTGTCGGTCCCACTGTGGGATTATCCAGGCGTTCGCTTTATCGCGTTTTGCTGACCCAAATAAAAGTTTATTCACTCACTCACTCACTCACTCACTCAATCACTCACTCAATCATTCACTCACTCGACACCGTTTCCATCTCTTCCTAATATTTTTATTAATTCATCTTATGAAGTCCTAAGAGGTCCCGATAACACGACCGAGACGCGGGACCCTATCGCGTCCGCGCCAAAAGAAATAGTCCCACTTATGCCCTCACCAATGTTATTTGTGAAAGCGGAATCGCCAATTGCCCTATTGACCACGTCAAATCTGGAATGCACCCCCACGCATTGGGGCATGTTTGCGAGCACCCTTCTTAATTCGAGAAGGAAATGCCGCGGACTTCCAACATTGTATGCGACTATAGGCTTCAACATTGTCACGTGACACTCCGTCATAGTTCTTTTCCTTCAATCGTGGATGTGAGCTTCTTGTCACGCGCTTACGGGAGGCCACTAATAACACTAATGCAACGAAAGAGCTAGTCTGTTCATGAGGACTTTGCGGCGGCTGCATTTCCGATGGAGGCGGAAATGTTGTAGGCCCGTGTGCTCAGATTTGGGTGCACGTTAAAGAACCCCAGGTGGTCTAAATTTCCGGAGCCCTCCACTACGGCGTCTCTCATAATCATATAGTGGTTTTGGGACGTTAAACCCCACATATCAATCAATCAATCATGAGGACTTGGCCATGCACGTACGATAATAGGGTAAGGTTACACTGAAAAAAAAAAAACGCACGACACAGTTTAACAAGACGGGCGCGAGCTTCAACTGGTTCTTTGTTCATACGTGGTCAGCATAAATAAACACACATAAATGCACATGCGCACTTCACCCTAAAGTAAAAACAAAAACAAATATAAGGCGGACAAAAGACGACAGGGGAGAAAATAGCTAGCGGAGCCGCACGCGTAGCATTTCCGGGCGTCAAAACATGCGTGAGCGAACTATCAATAAAGAAAAATATCTCGCTGCAATCTAATTCGGGATGGGCATCATATAGGCGAGGTCAAGTTCGGCATCTCTTTCCATATGCTCCTCGAATTTAGTTTACGTCGATTACGCACGAACAATGAACCATACGAAGTGCGCGCTCGTATTGTTAAACTGCGTCTTGTATTCTTTGTCGCGTGTTCTGGGTAGCATTTGCCTACCATAAGCACATCGCTAAGCTGGCAGGTCTAGCCGACGTGTCAGCACGTGTTGAATAGCCCGATTACGGTGAGAAACATCCGCATACTTCTGCACTGAGCTCCGATAGTCATACTCTCTCTCTATCTCTCTCTCTCTCGTTCTCACGCTCGCGCAAGATATCGTAACGTTTTTACGGCCACTCCGCTCCATGGCTGCCTTTATGACGCGCAAGCGGCCATTTTGCACATTTTCGTACCTAACGCACAGCTGGCCATACTGCTGCGTAATATCACCATAACTAGCACTGTATATAGCCTGACGCCACTCTGGTGTCGATTTCAACAGATGCGCCACGCGAAATTTGACTGTACTGTTAAAATGAGATACTGTCAGCCCTTCCCGAGCTTCACAATTGCCCAGAGTCGGCATTTGTATACAGGTTCGTATGGCGGAGCTAAGTAATATATGGTTGTTGCGAACAAGCGCTTAACCAGCGCTTGTCATTACTGCCTGTGTGCGTCGCCTTGTTTTTCGCGCTGCTTACTATCTTATCCCCTTAATTGCCGCAGACTGCTTTCGCCAATACAAAGCATGTTTACTGGCGATGTTTCTGAAACAGGTGGTTTCGCACAATTCCTCAACGGGATCATGGAGACAGAGCCACGAATCCGAGAGTGTGTAGCTGACTTCAGTAACCCGTAATTTATTTCGTTTAGCGGGACGCTTACGCGAGTGCACGAGACACTTTCAAATAAAACGCAACTTTAGTTGGAGCACGTTTCGTTCGTCTACCGGTCTTATTAGTGTGCAGCCGATCATTCACTCTTAAAAAAAAGGCAGTGCTACTTACTAACTTTGAGGTAGTAAATTGTTGTCACAACATTCACTTCCTAAGTAGTAACTGCAGGTAGTAGACCACAGACATTTACTACATCTGGTTGCTTCTGAGGTAGTAAACGCACGTGATCTACTACCTGCAGTTACTACTTAGGTAGCGAATGTTGTGACAACAATTTACTACCTCAAAGTTAATAAGCAGCACTGCCTTATTTTTTAAGAGTGTTCCTTTCCCGAAAGACGTGAAAACACGGTTAAACAATTACGCAGCTCTCTCTAGTCAGAAAATTGTGTACTGTCAATCGACGACGCTCTTCAACTCGACGTGAAGAAGAAATGCGCCCCGGGCGATTTGCGCTGCGCGGCATCCGCCGAGAGCAGCGCCTCGCAATCACCGGCCGAGCGAGACGGCGGCGCTGGCCCGGAAATGAGTCGGCATATGACACGCGCAGCTAGCGCGGCCGCAATCGAAAGCGGCACTCGGGCCGACTTTGCAAACCACGGCGGTGAATGTGGCCCGCTCATTTACGGCGGCTTCCACCCCGCAGAACTCAAGAGGCGGCCAGAACGAGTGGATGCCTCGAGTCTCGACATGCGAGATGCCGCCACGGTCCGCTGGCCCGTATTTCTGGTCAAGCTTGTGGAAGAAGCTGGAGAAAAAAAAATAAGGGGCGATCATTTGTGCATAGGCGTTTCATTCAGATTAAAGCAATGTTGAGCAAGTTGGTTCACGCTTGAAATGAGGTACTCGGGCAATAACTATGCGGAAGGAATAATAATAAAAAAAGAGCCGCTGCCATTTCCCCCCCTTTTTTCCCCTGGTCGCAACAGTACCTCAATGCAAGATTTTGCACTTTCTTCAAGCTTGACTCGTGTTCGAGGACGGTCATCTTGATGTCCGCCGCGGCGGAGCAGTGCATGGTCATGGAGTTCGGTTGCTGACCTGAAGGTTCTGGGTTCGATCCCCGCTGCGTCGGTCACATTTTGATGGGGGTGAAATGCTGGAGGCTCACATTCTGTGCGATGTCAGGGCATTTTAAACAGCAGCAGACGTTGAAAATTTTCGGAGACCTCAACACGCGATCATAGCGTAGTTTTGGCACGAAAAAAAAATGGCTGAGAAATTATTATTATTATTATTATTATTATTATTATTATTATTATTATTATTATTATTATTATTATTATTATTATTATTATTAGTTCTCTTGATATTCCATTTAGCACTATAAACATTGCAACACATAAGAAATGAATTGAAACTCGTTGATCCATAAGTCTCTCTCAGCAAATAACGATCAGTGACTCCCGTGAACACAGAGAGGATAATTATCTCCGTGGTACGCACATTTAAACGGAAACGAGAGATCAAAAACTGTTTTGTTATTGATCGATCAAGAGCGGGATGTAATCAGACACAGCGGACGGCGCGCGAGCAACGCCACCTTTTTATAGCATTTGGAGGCGTCATTATACGTGGAAAATATGGTTGCATGACTGGTGGTGCTATGTTCTGCGTCTGCTTTCTTCATTGCCAGCGCAGCGTTTTCAGAGTGGCTTGCTGGAGAGAGAAAGCCGACGCGACGAAGGCACTTCTGCTCATACCGAGACACTCAGCGCGGGCTCTCCTGTCGCCATGATGCGTTGACACACGCTCTCTATGCAGTGGAACTTACTGGTGAACAAGTTGGTCTTGTCTCTTAACAGAGTGAAATCAGCGCAAAGACTGATACAAAGAAGCTGACGGCCAGAGAGCGTTTTGTACCGGTGTCACACGGTTCAGTGCCGATCGTGATAGAGCCCGATGAGGACCGAATTTCAGAACAGTCATTTAGTCCCTTTGGCACCTTGCGTAAGGGAGCCAATCGCGATCTTGGAAGTCGATCGGCATCACGCACGATCGAAAGTAGCCGTGTGATACCACTATTGGTCTTTGTGATGTTCCGCTATGTGTACGCGAAGTTATTCACGTATACCGGAACACCGAATGAGAACTGCGCATGCTCGCACCCGAAAAATATGGCCGCACTGCCTGAAACAGTTACCGTCCACTTGGACTCTTCCAAGGGGCCGTCATGTGTGTGCCCTGTAGCTCGTTATTTCCGAAACTAACGCTTTTATTCACTGAATATTCGCGTCCTTAAGCATCGACACAAAAGTATTCATGTCGATTTGTAACCGTTTTCGACATCCATACTCAGTAATCGTTGCTGTAGGCTGAGCGAGTGGCAATGACGCTTCAGGGATCTCGGGTGACAGACTACGTGTTTGTTACTATGTGTTTACTCGAATGTAGCGCGAGTTTTTTCTAGATTTTCGCTACCTAAAGTTGAATACCGAGACAGCTATTTTTTTTCTGGCCGCAACAAAAAGTCGCTACTCGCGTTACAGTCACTGTCCCGTTACAATCGGGTTAATGAAATAAAAGGTAGTTTTTTTTTAATCTGTGCTCTATTCGCGCTATCAAGTATTAAATATTACTCGTATGAACCAGTGAGCCCTACAATGAATTTTGTAAATGTGAACATATAACAAACACCGCATGTGACGAATGAACGAGGGGACAGGCTCCGACGTCTGGACTGAACGAGGGTTAAACGACAAGGACGTCGATTACAGGGTCGCTCGCACATTCTCGCATCGCAGAAGAGCGACTAAGCCGGCTTGACCCTGGAGTGGGCCGAGGCGACCACGCTGCAGACGACGGTCCTGCGGCTGGAGCAGGGCCCGCTGGCTTCGGACATGGCGTCGTCGCCCGAAGACCCCCTGGCGCCCAGCGAGCGCATGCCCAACGGGCTCACGTACCAGGCGACCCAGTCGGGCCTCAAGGTCACCGTGCACGAGAACCCGCTCAGCACCGTGCTCGAGTATCGCCGGACGCCGTCGCCCGTCACGCCGGTACGAGAAGCAATGCATAAGCAAATCTGATATTATCTTTTTTTACAATCTACTGGCCTCGCTGATTGGGGATGTTGGTGCTTTTACTAGCGTCTGCTAACATCCTTCGCAATGGTGCTCTTGCAACATACTGTCTTACATACTGATGTGGGCTATTTTCATCTCTTTATGATGAAGAGCCTAAAAAAATGTGCCCGATAGATCACACAAAGCTACAAATATCGCGACAGGGGCTTCGAACTAAACCAAGGTGGTAGATGTAGCTTTTTGTGTATACCAGGGGTACCGGTAGTACAGCGTCCCAAGGCGTTGCAGATGCATTAGACTTCGGCCCATCGTCATAAAAAATGTAGCGTTCGTATTGAACGTACACAGTAAGGCTAATGTCGATGGTGATGTTGTTTGAGATGTTACGGCAATAATCACGAGCGTTAATGCGCAATTGAAGTTTCCTAGAACGTTATAGTCTCAATATAGACTATAAAAAGAAATTTTCTCTTGTTAGAAAAATATTTTTAATTTAAAGGATAATGTTTAGCTAGCTAACAGTCTCCACTAGCCTGCTGTAGTAAGACCGTACTTGATGGAGTTGATGCATCTTATACATTGATAGACATTCCGTTGCCTTTCCTTGTAACAGTATTAATTAGCAATAACGCTCGTTACTGCAGGCCACCAGTTAAAATAATCATTTTGTAAGGCTATATCGGTCATGGCGGACAGATGTAGCTGACTAATAAACTTGGCTAGACACTTTTACACTATGCACAGAATGTTATTAATAACTCCATCAAGTGAAACACGTTGTTTGATCTTGTCCTTAGATGTAAAAATAAATACCCGAATATCAACCGAAAAATCTAAAATAATGTGCAAGGATGCTCCACGCCTTCTAATCGAAAAGTAAATGCACCGCTAATCTAATAGACGTTTGGTTCGTGACCCTGAAAAGAGACGAACAGGCGCGGCATTTACAGATGGCTAGTCTAACCAAGCCAGTACAGACAGCGCATGAAACATTGAACCGAACAAGCATATTAAACCATAATATGTGGAGTTTGATACTATGCCAACCTGGCCTTGTTCGATGACGTCACAGTACCAGGACGCAAGCCGTCCGGACGCCGTGCTCAGCTTGCCCATTCGGGACGCGCTGTCCAGCAAGAAGCCCTCGCGCGACGAATCGTGCGTCAGCTTCGGCGTTCATCGGCCCAGCGATGCCAAGCCCATCGGAGCGGCTCCCTCTCCGGGCGGGCAGCGCGCCCGCGACCTCTCACTGCTAGCGTTCGTTACCCTGCTGGCAGCCGCTTGCTGCGTACTCGCCTACCTGGCATTCGTGGCTCCCAGAGCGCCCCCCGACAGGATCGTCTTTCAAGGTTAGCGGACCACTTTCTCAAAACTTTCATACGTCATTTCTCAAAACTTTCGTACGTTTCAATCGTCACGTGAGCGGCGTATGAAAGTGATTCACGGAAAGTAGTCATATTAACGCGATTCCATATATAGATATGAAAGTAATAGCATTAATGTGGGTAATAAAGCGCTTTAGAACATCAAAGGACCAGCCAGGCGTCACACAATGCAAATTGCGTACCGAGTGGATCGTCCAGTGCTCTAACCCAATTAGAAAACTTGTTCTTGATCGCCTATTAACTGTGGCGCGTACCAACTTCAGGCATAATTATTCATCGTCTTCAGGCACTGCATAGAAAAAAATTGCACAAAATTCCTAACAAGTGTGTAGTGGATACCACGCCTCCCCCAAAAAATGACGAAAGATAGCATGGTGAATGCTGGCCTACTACACAAATATTATGATTATGTATGTCGTAGTGGGTAGCCAACATTGTGGTTGTAGCAGTTACCCAAAGAGCGTTGAGAAAAGGCTCCGACCCCCTCACGTCAGTTAGCGGCCCGCTAGGTGAGGAGAGTTTGAAACGTCTGCGGCAGGTGGTTTCTAGAAATCTGCTGTTTGATTTGTTTGCTGATCGCCACTTTTATTTTTCATTATTTTGTTCGTTTAAACTCCGGCAACGGCAGAACTTCTACAAAGCTTTCCATCCAGATAACCTGCAGTTCCATGCTACAGGGCGTCCTATGTGACCCTGGCGCACCTAGGAACATTCTCGCTGTACGAGTTCTCCTGCCACATATTGGTTAAAATCAATCACACCACCATTAGTGGTGTCAGCAGTGGATTTGTATCGCAGTGTGAGCTAAACAAAATACACGCATGTTTTCCAGTCCCTAGGTAATACCTTCGATAACTTTCAAAAGAGTATAATACAGCTGTCTTTTGTCTCTGTTTATTTGGCGTCTGGGGTGAAAAATGCACCCGTGCATCTGGTAAAATGCAAGCGGCTGGGAAAACTGATTTCTTCTGTTTGTCGCGTTTCTTTTTCTTTTTGTACATTTTTCAGATCTCTCAACGAAAATCTGCCTGACTCCGGAGTGCGTGAAAACAGGTGGGAGATTATCTCTATTTTCATTTATTACATTTTTTTTGCCGCCATTCAATACGAAGACGGAACCAGTGATTTTAGAACGGCACAGAGGATGACGTTGAACTCAAAACAAGGCTCCTCACAAAGTCCAGATATTATAAAATCTTTATCACTTGCAGGAATACGTTGCTTTAAAACGTATAAAAACGTTTGAAAAGTTTACATAATACTTAATAATCATTTCATTGTACGTTACAATGGCAATTAAGTGAAATATTTACGAAATTTTGTATGCTCATATTTTTGAGAGATATTCTGGAAGCGTTTGAGGGGCTTCGTTCAGTGCCGCACATGCTGAGGTCACTAATTATCTTTCACTAATGATGCATTGAATATTGCCGCACGATAGTGTGTCTATGTGCGTATGTCGTCCTTTCATATGTCTCGCAGCCCTTCTGCCTGCGCTGTCTCTTTTTACATATACTCCAACTTGCTATTCTCCCCATATTTCTCCCTCTGCTCGTGTGCCGGTTCATGCAAAGGCACCTGAGTCAAAAAAAGAAAAAAAAGAAAGCGTTGGTTGCAGTCGTTCGCAACATGCTGTGCTGCAGTTCTCCCGAGTGTGCTTTCTTCTTTTTTATTTTTCTGGACACACTCCCCAACGTAAGCCGATGGGCCACTCGAGTGATGGCCAAGAAACGGGAGAACGGTCACGGAAATAGGAACCGGGGAGAGAGAGAGAGAGTCGGTTTCTTCCACGGTCAGGGCGACCGAGTCACGCAAGCGCGGGGCCGGACGTGGACGGGCCTTTTCGCGCACCGCTGGCAAAAAACGCCGCATGAGCGCGGCCGAGCCGACGTCGTCGATCCGAGCAAAGCCGAGCTCGCTTCATTTGCTTGCGATCCGTGCGGAAAAAACGGGGTGACGCTCGGGTCCGGCCCGAAAGCGCGGCCGTGGATAGCCGAGCCCACATTGCAGCACTTGCAACAGATGTCACTCGGGAGGAACAAGGAAGGCGCCAAAAAATACGAAAGTAAAAAAAATAAGAAACGAGACAAATTCTAAGCGGTCGCCTTTTCTTTTATTTTTTTATCGCGTTAATCCAATTGGGAGCTTTTTTTTTATTTTTTGAGGCCTCCTTTGCCGCTAGCCGAATGCCCCAGCTGGACGCGCCCTTCCCTCCGAGTTTTGCCCCAACCGAAGGAAGAAAACGTAGCGGGAGGGGAAAGGAGATTGGACTTCCTCTCGCGAAAAGCGTGTCCCGGATCACGCTTCACTGCCACCACCGAGCCGAACGCGCGCGGCTTCGAAGGAAGCGTCCGATGCCGCTGGCGGATCATATAGGAGTCAATCGGAGCGTAAAGAGGCCCAGAAGAGGATTTTCGTGCGACGATGCTTCGCGTTCCGCAGTAGTACACGCCGAAACGCTCGGCTCACGCGCCCGGGACGCCGAACAAAACCGCCAAAAAAAAAAGGGGGGGGGGGGGGGAAGCCACTACACCCGCCACTTTGTTATGCAATTTCTCCCGCTAGCCCGAGATGAGCAAAGTGGATGTTTCACGACGATAGTTATAGCGCGAGAACAAAACGACGACACAGAGACAAGAAGGACACGAAAGACTCTGTGTCGTCGTTTTGTTCTCGCGCTATAACTATCGTCAAGCCATACCAACTAGCCCAAGCTGCCACACTTCTACGAATGTTTCAGTCAGCCTCTCTGCCTTGCGCATAACGTTTACCGCGCAGAAAGTGTAAGTGATAAAAGTCAGTCAATAAAAACAGGACAGAGAGAACCGGGAGCTCACAAATGTGCAGGGTAGCACAAGGGAAAGGGATGCGGGATGGGGTGGATTAATACAGAGCATTCGATTGTACCAATAATTAGTAAGTCGGCCCCGGTGTATCAATAATTACGGTCCTTGGCTGCTGACTCGGAGGTCACGAATTCGATCCCGGCTGTGGCGGTCGCATTTTCATGGAGGTAAATTGGCAGAAGCCCGTGTACAGTACGGTTTCATTGTACGTTAAACAACACCACATTGTTGAAATTTCCGCAGCCCTCCAATATGGCGTCCCTAATAATCGTATGGTGGTTTCAACGCGTAAAACCACCATTATTATTATTATTATTATTATTATTATTATTATTATTATTATTATTATTATTATTATTATTATTATTATTATTATTATTACCTCTATGAACCCATACTACTTTTTTGTTTTGTAAAGCGTGCTTTGCCTTCAATGCACTTACTATGCGGTAAAGCCATCACTATGCAGCAAAGCTCGTGCATGAAATTAATAAAGCTCTGACAGCTGCTATTGGCGCAGACTTACAGAAGAATAGTAAACTTCCCGCTTCAGTTTCATTTTTTCGAAACATAATTACTATTTTAAAGGTCACGAATCGAAATCGCACATTTAACTTGTGCTTCCTTCGATGTTCAATCTGTTCGGTCTTCTATAGCGTGGCAATTTCTAGATCAACGTGTGTGACAGAAAAGTGCAAGTTGGCTGTTTGTGAATAATTTTGCCGGCCGGCTACGTTGTTTCGACGACAGCGTCGTCCCTCCTCAACGGCATGGACCAGAGTGCCGACCCGTGCTCCGACTTCTTCCAGTATGCGTGTGGCTCGTGGAACAAGCGGCACCAGATTCCCGAGGACCGGCCCAGCATTTCCACCTTCGAAGTGCTCTCGGACGAACTGCAGATCATTCTCAAAGGTGGCCACCCTCTTCCTCCTGCTGCTTCGAGAGATGGCGAGGACTCTTATTTTAAAAGCAGATAATTCAGTTCAGGCACACTACAGCTTAGAACCGTTACAATGGACAGACGGAGCACGAAAGACGGCGACCAGAGCTGAACTTTGTACATTTTTTTTCAGGAAAATTGCACGTACACTTATACTGCTTGACAGTGACTTCATTTTATTACACATGCGTAGGTACGTCGTCTCATTATGAGTAAGTTGTGGCGATGCCACGCTTAGACAGCCCTCCCCCGAATAGGCAATGCTTAACTTACAGCACGAACCTTCCCAATGTAAACACAATCCTTAAACGACAATACAACATTCTGGAACAAAGTGAACGTCTGAAACGCGCATTCCCATCCGCTCCTGGCGTCGTTTACCGACGACCACGCAACCTCAAAGACACAGTAATGAAGAACAAGAGGGAAATTGCAATGGTTCTCTTACCAGGTGTACATTTCGTGAGAAAGGCTTACACCCAAGTTTTTCTTGATTTGCATCGATAAACATCTTAACAGCTTGGTGCACTACAATGCTTTACACTTGTGATTTCTTCACCACGAACGCATTGGTCTTCAAGTGACAGCGAACTTTTCCTGTTGTACGCGCAGATTTGCTGGAGGAGCCACCGAGCCCGTATGACAACAGTGCCACCATCAAGGCAAAGACTCTTTACAACTCATGCATGAAACTGAGTAAGGCATGCAACGACTCATGTTTTTCTGTTACCTTTTTTTTCTCTCCCTGTATCATTTTTGAGAGAAACAGGATTTTCAATAGCATTATTTTAACGTATGACACGAGATGCACTGATTGTTTTTATTCGCACGCGTTTTAAAAGGATTTCTTGAAAATATTTACCACTGTATACCAGGCAGAAAGTTACTACAGCCATTGTATTATGCCATTTTCAACATATGGGGCAGAAACCACGAGAAAAACGAAGAAAATCGAGACGTAGCTAAAGACCACTCCACCCCGCTTGTGATGGAATGAGATATGATAGGCGTTAACACTGAGTGATAAGATTACAGTAGAGTGGACCAGACAACACCAGGGCTAGCCTATATCTGAGTATATATTAAGACAATCGAAATCACTGACGATCACGATAGTGCTTCCAAGCGCAGCTGTTTAACATACTATTCGGCACATAGGTACACCGTTTACACTGAGAAGAGATCGCCGTGAGTTGTGTGACTAGCGCGGCCTATTTCGTGCAGCCCAGTTCACATCAACCACCGAAGAGGGAGCGTAGCGCGACCGGGATCGGTAGACGGGAGACCACGGAAGGCAGCGCGTGGGCGCGTTCCACGACAGCCGCCGCAGACAAGGCGTCCGTTCGGTCATGAAAACTATATATGGTGTCGGTAGATGTCCTAGCCGCATACCTTGGTGATTACGTCATCGGCGACCACGCGACGGAGATGTGACGGTTACTGTAACGCCACGTATAAAGGCCGCGCGGAACTTGTAATCTCGCCTCTGTCGTCCCCCGCTCCCCATGGCACTCTCCTCGCTATCACCGTCTTTTACCTTCCGCTGCCTTCCACGTTCGCTCTCTTTCGTTCTCGTTCACTCTGCCTGTTAAGACGACGCCGACACCTCTCAAACCAGGAACATGCGCGTAAGAGCTGCGCTGTGAAATTACCTGGGCACGTGACAACCTGAGAGACAGATAACTGATAGTTAAATATAGTGCCAGAGCGAATACCGAGACGTAATAATCCTTCTTCAATGGTTCCACCGCTCTAAAGGAAACATGGACGCAGAAAAAGTGGAAGATAGCACGCGCGCAGTGCTGTCTTTTACTTTTTCTCTGTCCTTGTTTCGTTTAGTGCAGTTAAACCTTTGAAGAATGCACGTCAACCAACTAGCCCAACTTGGTGCGCATCTGACATAATAAATACGACCGAAGACGGCAAAGGCTCAAATGAAGTGAGATAATTCAGACATTAGGAGGCACACAATAGAAAAAGCCAACACGGGACAGGGTGGGTTGGAGATTTTTGGTAGAGGCCTTCGTTCTGCAGTGACCGTAAGATAGATTGATGATGACAATTGTCGAAAACGGTTGCTTTCTTCAAGTCAGACAGGAAACAAAGTATAAGCATTGTTGCTAAAGTTGGACGCAAAAGATGAAGGAAAGAGTGGTGCATTCGGATTTCACCAATGGAAAAGAGCGTTCATCAGCATTCTTGCTTCCATCTAAAATGCATCCGCCATGGCCGGGATTCAATCCCGCGACCTGCGCGTCAGCAGCCAAGTACCTTAGCTACTAGACCACTGCGGCGAGGTACCCGGTCGAAGAATAAGCGGTGCAAAAACACCAGGTCAAGAAGACATCACAGAGGCTATCTTCTTGTCCTCGTGTTTTTTTTTTTCATTTATTTTACACCAACTCGACTACATCGAGCTTCTTCTGCTTAGAAAACGGCAGTAAGGTATACCGTGACATCGAAACTACTGCTGTCCATAATAAATGGGAAAGCCATAAAGTAGAAGTCACACAAGAGAGCGACAACCGGCGGGAACGCAGACGAATCGGTACATAAAGGAGAAATATGCATGATGGAGACGCCTTCTGGCTAATCAGTTTACTTCATTGAAGGAGAGAGAGAAAAGAAATAAAATGAAAGTCAGGGACGTCAACCAGTTTGCACCTGGTTTGCAACCCTACACTGGGAGAGTGGAGGATAGGTTACATAAAAGAAAAAAAGAAAGAGAGGTCAACAAATACGCTCGTATGATAGCAGCGTTGACCGTGAATATAAGGTTACAACCTACGAACTGCTACAGACTACGGTTCAAGTTGGACTGTCTTAGATGATACAGACTGCAATACATGATGTTAATGAGGCTCGCAAGGACTGGCTCCAAGGTATTCAGGTATTGCACTGCGCTTCGAGCTGATGGTTCGTTGAAGGAAGCTGGCCAGCCGTGGAGGGGCTCAGACGAACTGGCCAGCCTTCGCACTTCTTTCCGCAAAGCCTGGACTGCGAGAGGGAATGGGCGACGTGTTTCTCGGCAGATGTGATCGAGGATATCGGCGACCAGCCTCTGCGTGCGGTGCTTCGTAGCCTGGGCGGGTGGCCCGTCACGGAGCCCAATTGGACGGCGCCTCCGTGGGGCGTCGAGCGACTGCTGGGCGACCTGCGCGGACGCTTCGACCAGGGTGTCGTCGTCGAGCAGTGGGTCGGGCCTGACGACAAGAACTCCTCCGTCAACATCATACAGGTGAGCTGAAAGATTACGTCATTCACACCTACGCGCCAACGACTTCCACGCCATCCATTCGTATTAGCACGTAAAACGTTCCAGTCCACTTGTACAACTTAGCTTTCTTGTCCTTTCCTGCGCAGCTTTGTCAACTTAAGTGACCTCTTCTGAACATTGCAACATCCTGCTCCCGTGGCGCTTCTAGATTCAGCGGCATTGCGACTTCAGCCGCGGAACTAAAGACAAAATGGCTCTGTTTTCGAACACTGCGACACATTTTGGATAGCCGCCTTGCGACTGTCGAATTATAGATCATATTCCGTCTGAGCCCGAATCAGATGAGCCGTTCTTCCGACTCTACCTAACAACGACCACGTCTGCGGCGCGTCACGTGCGTGCGTCCTTAGCGCATCACGTGTGGTGTGAGATGCGCGTGCATAAAGATTCCGTCCCTGGTGCGTTCATCCTCATACACTTTTTTGCTTAGCACAACGCTTTGTTGGGCAAGCATGGTTCATCCCCTGAGAAGGTAACAGTACGAAAGCAACAGGGAGGGTTGCTTTGAGGCCATCACTCCTGTATCACAAAGGTGAAACTAGGCCTTGTGTATAAAGAAGGAAGCATAGAAACATAAAAAAAAATCAAATCAAATTTTATTTTCACGTTGTACAAACTTACAGGTGGAGGACAACGAAAAAAAAAAAGCTGCCGAGAGGCGGCCTGACTAGTCCGCAGCCAAATTAAAAGGCAAGAAAACCCCACACAGGAAGATTAGGAAAGAGATTTCTAAAATGAGAGAGAGATATGCGCTGCAGTGAATTCACTGCAGCGTATAAATTTCGTATTTTCATCAGTGAACCACAGTTAAAACTTAGCACCTCTCCTATGTTCTTGTCTTGGTTCTACCACGCTAAGGTGTTCACTTCTCAAGTTTCGTGACCTTGGTGCAAAATAATGTTAAGCGATGTCGTCGTGTTAGTATTTGTGACGAGCTCCGTTAAGATGTGTGACAGAAGAATAGCGTCACAGACACCATTCTCGAGTATTTCTCCTCTCTTCTACAATCTTTATTATCCTTTGCCCATTCCTCTAGATGCACTGAGCCGTGCTCCCAGCTATAAATCCTACATAAGTTGCGTCTTTTTTTTCTCCTCAACCTCTCCTCCTCCTCAGAGGCAGCGCAGAAACCCTACCAAACAAGACGCGTTCATCTACCCTTTGCCGTAATGGTGAAACCAATTCTAAGGTGCCCGTGCAGTTCCTGTACTACCTGAACACGCTATGGCTGGAGCACGCACCCCGCCCGTAAGAGTGATTGATTGATTGATATGTGGGGTTTAACGTCCCAAAACCACCATATGATTATGAGGGACGCCGTAGTGGAGGGCTCAGGAAATTTCGACCACCTGGGGTTCTTTAACGTGCACCCAAATCTGAGCACACGGGCCTACAACATTTCCGCCTCCATCGGAAATGCAGCCGCCGCAGCCGGGAATCGAGCCCAGGACCTGCGGGTCAGCAGCCGAGTACCTTAGCCACTAGACCACCACGGCGGGGCGCCCGTAAGAGTGAAGTGTCAATCTTGGGGCCTGGCGTATAGCACATATCGAAATAATGCGCACGTCTGGTGACACTGACAGGGGGCTTTTATCCTCAAGTCAGCCGGGCGCCTTTTCGTAATCGAGTGGAGACGCACTCGAGCAAGCTCGCGTAATCTCGGCACCACAGGCACAACACGGCCATCTTGCCGAAATCACAAACACACACAACAAATACAACAAAAAAAAAGCTGGAGAATTCTTTTTCGACATCCTCGCGCAGCTCTGGAAAGCGAGCCATTTTACGCGCTTCGTTCGCCATCACAGGTGAAGGCGTCGGAGCCATTTTCTCAATGGAATTTTTTTTTTTTTTGTCGCACAGCTCAGCTCGCGAAACGCGAGATCCTAGGAAATCACCCCCGTTTCCTCCTCCTTTAGTGCTGCCCATATCCACCCGTGTGCGCTTGCGATATGCGCGCACCGAGTCCATTTTTCCTTTGTATCCCAAACTCTGTTTCCATTTAAGGAAGCGATCGTTGAGAGGACTTCAGCTCATGTTACCCTGTTGTGTCTGCTTTTTCCGCTTTGTTTAGTTTATATTTTTCACCAACGCCAATATCGGTATGCATACGCTCGAGAGCTTTTGAAAAACTCGTCTAAATCTTTAACCGGTGTTTGCTTTTATTTAGGAAAACCTTATTTGACGTGTTCTAGGTCTTGCTCACCTCCGACTTATCAAAATATTTTTGCCTGCGTATAGCGACAAAAGATTCACTGCGTTTTTTTTTAAATTAGGTTCGTTCGTGCGTAGCAGGTGTGATGTACGCAGCTCTTTCATTCTTAAGCATTTAGCTTTCAGCAAAGAGAGTCGCAGCTTAGCAGAAACGATCAAAGAGGACAAAAATGACACATACACCAAATATTCACGTGCTATGACAAACACGAAAACACTCGATATAAAAGGAATTGAAACTCATTGAAACTCACAAACTCACTGAAAGTGCAAATAGACCACTGTATGGGACAAGAAACGAAGCTTTCCGAGGAAGAGTCACTCACTGCTTGTTTGATCAAAAGAACAGCAATAAATATAAAACAGACACTTATAGAACATCGCTGGGTCTATACAAGAAACTATTTATGTCTTTGTTTTTTTAACTCCTGCCACACGCTATTATTTCTTAAAGAAACTCGAACGCCGCACTCAACTATCTGTTCCGGTTATAGTTTCGGAGTTTTAACGCACTGTCGGCCTAGAGAGATATCAAGGACAAAAACGCTGCTGGTCTTTATCAAGTCCGTAGACGCAAAGAAAATCTTTAAAAAATGTTATTCCCCCATTTTTTTTCTTGTAGTGTCTCTTATCTGTTGCTTTTTTCACCCATTCTTTAGCGCAGTGCAGCCAGCCGGTCAAGAGCTAGCTAACTTCCCTGTCTTACCGCTCGTTTCTTCCTTCATTCCTTTCTTGCGAAAAGATTTGTTTGTTTGTTTCTTTGTTTGTCTGCGTGTTTGTTTGATGACAGCACTTTGTGAAGACTGCGGTAATTAGGAGACATTAAAACACATCCTCTGTGACACTCCTCACTACAGTGTGCAGAGACAATTAATTTCATTAATTATAAACCCCAGGAAAAAATGCGTTGCGGAGAGATAGTGGCAAATACACACAAAAAAAGGAAAAAAAGCTACCGTATAAAGAATAGGTTTTTTATTTATTAAAATCGTACCCACAGCGCCATTTAGGCATTACAGTGGGGGGGGGGGGGGGTGTTTACACAGAGAATTTATAAATCATACATTTCAAGAACATTGGTAGTGAAAAACGAAGGAGAAATAGCGGCATACATTGTTGTCAATACACATGAATTACATAAAGATACACTAACCTAGACTAAGAGAGAAAACAAAATGAAATTTATACTGTACAAACATAAAAAAATACAGAAACGAAGTGATAAGAACTAAACACTGCATAAAATTCGACAGCAGCCGAAGACAGAATGAGATGTCAAAGAGCGGCCGCAAAAGCTTCGTTATCTGTTATGCTGACCTTGTCAGCAGGCAGACGATTCCATGCAGAAAGTTTTCGGGAAAAAAGTGCTTTAAAAAGATTAGTCCTGCAGCTATATTCTCTAACCTTGAGCTCATGATCTGTTCGTCTTGATACATAATGGGGCTGAAGAATAAACTGATTACGGTCTATTCCAATGTGGCCATGATATATATTGTGAAAAAGCTTCAAGCGCAAAATTTGCCTTCTTTTTTCTAGAAGCTCCCATTTTAATGTTTCTTTTGTAGCAGTAATGCTAAGGTTTCTCTCATAGCTTTCGATAACGTATCTTGCAGCCAGGTTCTGAACTCGCTGAAACTTGTCGCAATCCGCATTTGTGGCAGGATCCCACACAGTGCACCCATACTCTAATATTGGTCTAACGTAGCTCTTGTAGAGAAGATCGCGGGCCTGCTGAGGAAACAGCTTTGTGTTACGCCGCAAGAATCCCTACACCTTACATGCCCTTGCAGCAACGTAATCGACGTGCCTGTGCAAACACATGGATGATGTGAGGAATACGCCCAAGTACTTATACTCTGAAACAGTTTGTAGCGGAGAACCAGACAGACAATAAAGTGTCGATGTCATACGTTTTTTTTTTTTGTGAAACGCATATGAACAGTTTTCTGCACGTTTATTTTCATATGTGAATCACGGCACCAGTTTTCCATTTTCGTTAAATCATTTTGTACAATAAAGGTATCATCGACGCTTGTAACTTGCTTATATATTATTAGATCATCAGCAAACAATCTAATGGAAGAAGCGATGGTGTCGAGAAAATCATTTATGAATAATAAAAGGAGCAAGAGGCCCAACACTGAGCCCTGAGGGACACCAGATGCTACGCTTGCCATACACGATTTTGCGCCATTTACCACTACATACTGAGAACGCAAGGACAAGTATTCCCGAATCCATGTTATCACCTGTTCATCGACACCAAACCAACGTAGCTTACATACAAGCAACCCGTGATCTACGAGGTCGAACGCTTTCCTGAAGTCTACAAATATCGACTCAACACAGGATCATTCATCCAGTCAACTACAAACTTCGTGAACAAGTTCTGTTAATTGAGTTATAGAGGAAAGCCCTCGTCTAAACCATGCTGTCTCGGATTAAGAAAATTTTGATTGGTTATGTGTGTCATTACATTGCTGCACAAGACGTGCTTAATATTTTGCAGGCTATACTTGTCAGGTTAAACAGAATTTAAGCATAAAATTTTCAGCTGTTTCATTGCGAAACTGTTTATAATCATTCATGCCTACAATGTCTGCCGGAAGATTACCGTCGCGTGAAGCACGTTGGAATAATGATATTTGGCGTTTCACGAGCCAAAAACTCGATATCACTATGAGGCGCTCCAAATCGGGGGAATGCCGTGATTTCGACCATCTGATGTTGCTTAACTTACACTGACAGTGCTCAGCACACGGACCGCCAACATTTCACCTCCGTCGGAAATGCCTTCGCCTTGGCCGGCATCGAACCCGCGACCTTCGGCTCAGCAGCCGCGCATCGTCACCGATACACCATCGCTGCGGACGAGGCAGGTTGCAGAAATGATTGATGAAGTATACACTGTATTGCAAGAAACTAATGCGGCTTTGTAACCTTGGTCTTCGCGATGAGACGCATGAAACGGCTGGTTTGAGTCACCCGCATAGTGTAAAAAGGGTGCGCTTTGCAGAACAAGGCAATGTGCGACACTTTTCTGCGCAGTGACAAACGACACTTTTCTGCGCAGTACAAAGGTATGACTGCATGGTAGGTATAGTTGCTGAGCGTCTGCGATTAGCGTAAGTTAAACGTGCGGAGTACTTTTGTACAATCTACAGAGAAATCGTTACATTTGAATGAGCAGGGTGCCACGTAGGTTTAGCGTACTATAAATTAAATCGAATCACAGATAAAGCGTCGAGGCAGACGGAACGCCATGAAAATGTCCATGAAAATAGCCCAGCATGCGACTACTTTCGCGAATTACGCTCTTGATATGAGTACACCTGTTCAGGTTGAGCGTAATGTAAGCACCGATGTATTTATATGATGTTCATGATTCGAGGGAAAAAAAAGAGTGTTCAGGACTCAGCGTTTTGGTTTTGTGAGTCCGCCATCACAAGTAGTGAGTCTCTCGCAGATCGACCAGCAGCTGGCGTTCGGGCTTCCCAGTCGAGAGTACTACCTGAAGGAGAGCAGCGAGAAGGACAGGCGAGCCTACCACCGCCTCATGGTCGAGGTGGCCCAGCTGCTGGGCGCCGAACCACGCGACGCGCACGTCCAGATGGACCACGTGCTCGCCCTCGAGACGAAACTGGCGAATGTGAGTGAATCCGCAGGTGCTGTCGCCTTTCTCGTGTTTGTGTGCAGTGACGTCCCATTAACGAGCTCACGAAACGCCGATTGCTGACGTTTTCCGTGCATCGATGTCTGCTGCATTCATTTAGCTGCCCAATGAAGAACGGCACCGCTGACAAATCAAGATGACGCAGCACTTCAATGCATCCACTGAATAGCCTGGAAAGTCGTGCACTTGCCCCGCCGCGGTGGTCTAGTGGCTAAGGTACTCGGCTGCTGACCCGCAGGTCGCGGGATCAAATCCCGGCTGCGGCGGCTGCATTCTCGATGGAGGCGGAAATGTTGTAGGCCCGTGTGCTCAGATTTGGGTGCACGTTAAAGAACCCCAGGTGGTCGAAATTTCCGGAGCCCTCCACTACGGCGTCTCTCATAATCATATGGTGGTTTTGGGACGTTAAAGCCCACATATCAATCAGTTAAGTCGTGCGCTCTAAAAAAGAGCCATGTATTTATTTATTTATTAATCGCGACGCATTTCTTAGCAAACTTCGGCGACTTTGAGCGTATCTATCTATCTATCTATCTATCTATCTATCTATCTATCTATCTATCTATCTATCTATCTATCTATCTATCTATCTATCTATCTATCTATCTAGCCGCCTACGACTGTTAGCTCTCCTAGCCGTTTCGATGATAGTATCGATACCAAACTTTGCATGGCATAACATGACTGTATGAAGAACATATTTCACTAGTCATAACATGAAAATCATGACACGAATGTCATTATTTACATTTCATGGTCCTGCAGCCCTTGCAGTGGTTTCGTTCACATGGCATGTTGCAAAACTGGTATGGTATGACATGATTGCATGTCGAACGCAAGCGACAGACCCTAATAAGCAAATCCTGATATGCGTGTCATGTAATAACAGGAATACATGCCACCTTCACGATGCGCTCGCGGCCATTTCGCTAGCGTCATATATACCAAATTTGGTATTACGGAACGTGAACGGATGACGAAGGTATGTGACTGCTGCAAACATGATCATCATGAGATGCGTGTCATGTAACAACATGACTACATGCCACACTCACGATGCGCTCGTGGCCGTTTCGCTAGCTTCACATATGCCAAATTTGGTATTGCGTGACGTCAATGGATGACGAAGGTATGTGACTGGTGCAAACATGATAATCATGAGATGCCTGTCATGTGAGAACGTGACTACATGCCACTGTCAAGGCGCCAGTACATTTCGACGTAACGCGGTGCGCGTGCTTGCCGGCGTTCATTTTGTAGCGTCACGCCGGCGTTGCGACGCCAGGCGCCGGTTTTGCCATGTACTCGCAGGCGCGCGCCGCGCTGCGTTGCTTTGACGCATGCGCGTCTCAACACGTCCGGCGTCCCTGCGTCCCGAAAACAGGGAGACGCAGTGTTGTCTGGGTAACGCAGCAGCGCGAATATCACGTCGGTTGCCATCGGGCCGCGCCGACTGACGCTGGTCGTACCTGGCGTCAAACAATAGAGTGCTCGCGTTTGCTAACGGAGCGTCGTTGTACCCAGCGTGCTCGCGCGTCAACGCTACATTGGAATATATTGGGCCCTTCATGATGCGCTCGCAGCCGTTTTGCTAGCTCTACATATACCAAATTTGGTGTTACGTGACGTAAATGGATGACGAAATATATGACTGGTGCAAACATGATAATCGCAGCACGCGTGTCATGTAAGAACATGCCAACATGCCACACTAATAGCGTGCTCGCGGCCGTTTCGCTAGCTCCACATTTACCTAAATTTGGTATCACGTGACGTGAATAGACGACGAAGGTAGACGACACATCCAAACATGATAATCATGACACGGAATTCATGTACGGCATCATTTACCACCACCTCGTAACATTGTGCTGATTTTAAAGTGACATATGAACCTTTCTTATTCGTGTTTCGCATATCACCGATTCCCACGGTACGTGGGATCTGCCAATTTCAGTTTCAGTTTCAGTTTATTTCGGACATAGTTACATGACATGAAATATGTCCACGAGGCAAGGCAAAAGGAGACTCGTATGTCTCCTGACGAGGCCTTCACCCCGGACTTACACGTCAGACAGCCAGGAGCAAAATCAGAGAAAATAAGTACAATGCTCATTGCACAACTTACATAAACAAAAAACGAACAGTAAAAAAACGCATTAGGACAAAAATAATACAAAGTTTACGTTGTTCAGGTTTATCAGTTTTATAAAGTTACATAAATATACAAATTTACATATTTTCGTGTTCAAAGCAAAATAATTGTAATTTCAAGGAGGCAGGAAAAGTAGCTTTACTTGTTTTTTAAAACGAGACATACTTGACTTCTGATTAGCCAATTCGATTAGGGATGGGTATGCATTCAGCAATGAAATGATCTGATAATCTATAGTTTTAGTTTTTGGTCTTGATCGCGTCAATGAAATAGTGCGAAGGTCATATGCCACTTGTCTATTTCGATATTTGCTTGAGAACATGGTGCGATCACGTTTGAATTCGCGGAAAATCATTGCTGCCAAAGAAAGCTGATATAACTCTGAGAATGGTGGTACGTTCAGACGTTTATACAGAGAGTCAGTTGGTGGGGGAGGATGGGAAGAAATCATTTTTAGGCTCCTTTTTTTGTATAGAGGAAACACGTTCAGCATCCGTCTTGTTGCACGTACCCCAGACTAGGTGATTTGTTTGTTTGTTTGTTTGTTTGTTTCTTTCTTTGTTTGTTTGTGTGTACAAGCACGGCCTTCAGCGTATCTGCGTTACGACGTAGAGCTGAGAAACGAAGCTCACTGATGGCGACGCTGCTAAAAACAAAGTCACAGCTTTGCCATAAAAGCGAAGCAATGAACACGATAGCAAAAATTGGAAGGTCACGCGCAGAATGCAAGCAGATCGAAACTCGCCCCGTATTTCTCAAGCACAAATGACGCACGAAACGTACTCACAGGTACAAATGAACGCGAATAAGCGTCTCAATTGTTACTTCACCCTGTCTGAAAAGCGCGCCCTTTTCGCAAACGGATGATGTGCAACGATTGCAGTGACCTTTGAGCGCCCGGTAACGACAACAGAATACGTACGACGTACGATTCTCCCACTGCAAGAGAACGGCGCGCGATCGAGCGTACACCCCTTATTCGCTACGCGGGCCAAAGTACGCGTGAGAGATGAGAGCCACCACTAAGGTCCCTCCATAATGTACTGAGGGACTTTAGCCACCGCACGTTCACTGCGCCATCTTGCTGATAATGCTTAAAACACAGATTCAGGGCACTGGATATACGTCCCACGTACTTTAAGGCTTCTTTAAGACCCACTTGCGAATGTAAAGCGCTCGGACTCCTTTCATTTTATTTGTCGGTATCTTTTCTTGCATTGAAATTACAATTAAAATTGTATTAAAGTTGTATTTGAAAGGCTGAATTTAGGAAAGCAAGCAATTTGTGGCATTATTCTTTAAACAAAACAACTAAAGATATAAAAAAACCTAATCCCTATACATATATGCAACATTAACGTTCAGCAGCTTCGTATTGATGTTTAATTGACTCTGGTAAAAAAAAGAAAACAAAACATTCAACTTGCGCTGACAACGGGGCAAACGTTTCGAAAGGAAAAAGACGTTTATTTCATGTGTCGCTCTAAAACAAGATGTATTGAAGAATTTAATTAACAGCAACGCGCCATATAGTCATGCTTTTAAAAGTTAAAAAGGTCCCAAGGCGGCAGTTGTCAGTGTTTCCATTCCAAAGAACTCGAGTCATTTGCGTTTTCTAGGAACGGCGTGGTTCCTCCGCATTCTGTGCAGACACAGTTACTCGTAATCATGATTTGTAGAAGCTTTACATTAATCAAAGCGTAGCCATTGTCAATACAGCTAACTTTTTGTCCTTGCGGCTATGTGTAATGAGGAGAAAGCTTAGTTGCTAAAGTGCTCACATGAGTGCTCTGTCTCATTTCTGTTAGTGGTCAATTTCCAGTTGTAGAGCGCTTTCCAAGAAGTTTCTTTGATTCGTCAGCGCAAGATTATCTTCTGCCGCCGCAACAAAATCAATAAAGGCGTAACTGAACTTAAAGTAATACAAATGCACAGAACCACACATACGTGTGCGTCTCACACCCACAGGGCAAGTGAACTCAGCAAATGTCACGCGTCTCAAAAAAAGAAAAAAAAAATTTTACTTGCCTTTCAGTAGCCAGGGTACTTTTTTTTTTCCAAACCTATGAAGTTGAGAGCAAGTAGCAGCTCCAATTTTTAAAAACTTCGCTATAGAGGCAGAATGCTCAGGTTCTGCACCGTCTAAGAAAATGGGGGCCTGGCTCCTCGCCAATCGGTCCGGAAAAACTGGTCCCTTTGGCTCAATCAAAGCTCGCAAAATTGTGTGGGCCACTAGGTTGTGTTCAGGAAGGCTTTCTTATTCTAAACATGCAAAAAGCAAATTTAGATAAATTATCGTGTCCCGTACGGCTAACGTTCGCGTCCCGGCCCGATTATTTTATTTTCTTTTTTTTTACATCACACGAAGATAGTAGACCTACCTTCAAAGCGATAGCTAAAAAAATAATTAGGAGAGAACTGGCATAACGTAAGGGTATGCAATGCCGACAGCTGGGACAGCCGGCAATGTATTTTTGACGAAATGCACAGCGCTCAAACGGACGAAATGTAGCGGAAGAGCACGCACCTGCGCTGTGTCTCCTTCGCTACTTCCGGTCCATTTGAGCGCTGTAAATTTGATTTAATCAAACAGATGATTGAGGTTGAACATCGAAAAAACCACGATGTGAATCGTAAGGGATACCGTAGTGGAGGGTCACGAAAATTTCGTCCGTTTGGTGTTCTTTAACGTGACAGGTGACTGTTAGACAGATGGATAGATGGAATACAAAAACCACAATATGATTATGAGGTATACGCCATACTAGTGAGGAATTATACGCGTCAATTTTGAGCGGCTGAGTGCTTTGACGTGCGTCTAAACATAATTGGACGGTTATACGTACGTATCACCCTAATTGATATGCCACCACCATGAACTGGAATCGAACCCGCGTCCTCGAGCTTGAAACACTCGCATCACAGTCTCTAAGCCACATCACGTCGGCTTGTGCGTGTGTGTACGCGCGTGAATGTTCGTGTGTGAGTGTATGTTTGTTTACGACGTATAATAAAATGTCTGAGACCAGTTAATAATAAGTCATGCACACAGTGTTCTTTTCTCTGCTTCAGATCTCTGTGCCCGAAGCGGACCGGCACGACACTGGTTCCATCTACAACAAGATGACGCTACGGGCCTTGTCTGAAATGGTGCCAGTGGTATGGGCGTGCGAAAGATTTTCCTCAGTATTCATTCACAGAACATCGTGTGCGCTAGAATACGCAGCCGTTTCTGAATGTTGTCTTTACACTGAAAGCGGCGCGCATGTTTCTCCCTATGATCTGTAGAAGAGGACGTCTAGGTAAAATGCGGACATAACTCAATCTCACCTATAGAACTTACGTAAAACAAGTTTACCTAAGAATATTATGAGCTTGCGCGCACACGGTGGATATTCTGAGCTCATGACTGAAAACCTACCGATAAAGCAGAATATATGGCTGTTTCTAACGTGTGGGTCAGACACTTTAAAAAAAGAAGAAAAAAGACTCAGCGTGCAATGGAACTAAGGGTAATAGAAGTAACACCAAGAGATATGACGTACCTCATAAGAACTTGCTGTGCGGTTTATTAGAAACTCGTCATGTTGAATAAACCTGGTGCGTCCTGGCATTCCATCATCACGCACACGCACGCAACAGCACACCCCACAAACAGCGCACTCACATGTACTAACTGTTTATTGTGCGAAACCCATGTATACTTAAACGATGACGCGCAAGTGCAAAGACCAACAATGATGCTCATGTGCAATGATCAATCACAATTCACGAGAATAACAACCAACATTCACCTGACACAACAAGAAAAAAAACCAAGACTGGCCAGGAGAATTTTAAACAATTGCATCAATGAAAGATGTTTATTTTAAAATAAAGTCACAGAAGGTTCTTTAACATATTAATGCGTACTTTCTCCCATAAATTAACTTCTAACGTTACTCGTGCTGATAACTTCATGATTTTTCCTGGAGCCTGGGTATCATAAAAACCGTTGCTTACATCCACATGCTTCAGCATGTCCCACGTTTGTAAGAGATACAAAAAGAATTACTTGTTAAATTTGGTACTCCTGATTTATTCTGATTGATTGCACTTGATATTATTGTTCTATTCGTAATTCATTTGTACGCAACCTTATCGATGTTATTTTTTTCTATATTCCCCGGACAACCGATGAATTGACTTTTCCTTCGTCTAAATTTGAAAACTTTTCTTTTACATGCACGAAGAAGCAAGCTTGCTCGTTCGTGCATGTCTGGAGTTGTATCAGCCACAGCACTCGGCACCCGTCCGTCCCTGCGCGTCATAATAACATGGCTATTTGGGTTCTTACGGCATATGGAAGCGCACACCAGGTCACACAACGAACACACACACAATGGGACGACACAAGTGCTCGTTTCAATCCATTGTGCACGTGTACAGTGTGTAATTACTTCGGTTCATCTCGTACAAAGGGGAGACGCTCTAGGTGCCGACCAGTGCGGACGCGCGAAGGTCGGCTCCTGCTTTCAAGAATGCTTTCCTATGGTATTCACGAATTTGTCGCCGAGTTTTTACTCTCATCGTGTGCCTAAGTTCTTAAGAAATCAGCAGATACCACCTTTGTGCCGGTGAGTGGACTTTTAAACCATTTTTTGGGACATTTTTACACGGCAACGCCACCGGGGGATTTAGGCCTAACCAAGGAGGCGATTGTCACCGATGCGCCGGCCCGGCGCCAACGTGACGCAACGCTCTGCGCGTTCCAGAACCTGCAACTGATAATGGAATACCAAGTAGATGGAGAGGACATCTCTCCAGAGGATTGCACGGAAGAAATGGGTTGGAAGGAAGCCGAAACGAGACACTCAAGGAATAAGCAAGCCGCGGTTAGCGTTCCTGCTGCCAAGGGTTCGACCGAGGCCGGCGTTGCGGGAGACGCTCGAGCCAGTCGTAGTAGGTATGACACCAAGCATACAATCGTGCGAGCTGGACGCATGCCGCCACTACCTAAGGACTTCAGCAAAATTGTGCTACGACCACGTGGAGGATTAAATATCTCGAAAATTGGCACTGGAGCCGTGGCAGACGCGATAGTACTGGCGGCCGGCGTCAAAGAGGAAGAGGCCATGCAGGACATCATCTGCTCCAACTTGCAGCAGAACATTATGGTGGCAAGCACTCCGGACCAAGACAGAGCTTCAAGATACCTCAAGGTCAAGCAAATTGACATTGGAGGCAAAGTTTTCGAGGTTAGCGCGTACGCCGCGGCACCCCACGACACTTGTAAAGGAGTGATTCGCGGGATCCCCGTAAGCGATACTCAGGACATTTTGACCCGAAAGATTGTGAACGCGAACAACCCGCTCGCGCTTCAAACCAAGAGAATCAAGGACACCGGGACAATCATCATAGCGTTCGAAGGACACAAGGTGCCCAGATTCGTGAGATATGGACCTTCACTTTTGCAGCGCTCCCTTTACCGCAAGAACATCGATATTTGTTACGTCTGCGGAAAGCTGGGACATCGATCTGACGTCTGTCCGAACCCAGCTGAAACAATCTGCAGAGGCTGCGAAATCAAGAACCCAGATAGCCTGCACCAGTGCAATCCAAGATGCAGGCTGTGCGACGGTCACCATCCCACGGCAGACAAGGAGTGCAAGAACAGGTTCTTAGTGCCATACGTCGTCAGACGCAGACGTTAGGAAAGATCGCGAGAAGCCGCAGAAGCACGGGACGCATCAATCACATCGAGTCCAGACATCAATGACAAGCAGCTTATTCCAGCCTACGGGACCCAGAGCATCCAGACTACACAAGAACAGGAAAGGCGGCCCCACTCCAGGGGGAGGTCGCGTTCCAGAAGAGGTTCTAGACCCAAGGCCCGCTCCCAATCACGGGGGCGCTCGAGTTCTCAATGTCACCATCAGGGTCGGGATCAGCCTGGGCGGCACCCGAATGGCCAGCTACCTGGCGTTCAGTTCGAGATCACGGCTTCACACCCGGGGAGGACGCCTGCAGTTACTTCGAAAGGCAGCTGGGCTGAGCGAGTGCGCAACGGCGGGGCAGAGGTGATGACAGGTAAGCTGCCAGAGCATGATAGAATTGCACAGCTAGAGCAAGAAAACGCGAGACTTACAAAATCGAATGAGAGGCTATCAGCTGAGTTAAAGGAAATAAAAATTCTTCTCACTAAGCTAACCAGCGCGCAATCTTCACAGCCAATGCCTCAGCCAGTTGATGTCCCTGTGGCTGAAAACGTGGGGGACTCGAGAACCGCAAAAAAGAGGGCAGTCATGGCAGAACACGTGGAAGCCAACCAAACGACCATGTCAGATATGAAAGAGGTGTTTGACACGCTCAGCAAAGTAGTAGCCAATCTTAGCGAGCAGATTGGTAGGCTACAATAGAGCGTGGCGGCACTGGAAGAGCATATGACTTTGCGCATTACAAAGGTCGAAGCATGTCTGCACAACGCAGCAAGGCCTCCTCATGCACCAAGCTCACCCCTTCGGCCACCAATACTAGTGGTACCAAACCTGTCGACAGGTGCAGCATCAGGCTCTGGCCGCCCATGTAATAACCATGATGGCAGCGCTACGTGAAGCATTTCGTATCTGGCAATGGAACTGTAGAGGTTACCTTAAAAAGAAGGCAACCCTGCAGCAGTATATCAGGAGCAGCCAAGAAAAGCCTCATATTATATTATTACAAGAGACCCTTTCACCGCAAGCAACGTTGCCTGGATTCCGGCCTGTAATAGGGGATACTGAAGGGAGGGGAGTCTGCACCTTCGTATGCAACAAACTAACGCACGTAACCCATGGCCTCAAGATAGAAGCAGGCCGATTGGAACACGTCTTGGTAGAGATCGTGCCGGGTACCAGCAACCGTCAGAGCATTTTCATTCTTAATATATACAGCAGTCCAAAGGAACAAAAGCAAGGGTTCAAGACGGTTCTAAAGAAAGCTGTTAATATCGCCGGGGAATGTCCACTCGTCATAGCAGGTGATTTCAACGCCCCTCATCATACATGGGGTTACAAGTACAACACTGGGAAAGGAAATCGACTTTGGCAAAGTGCCAGCGAACTTGATCTCACCCTAATCACAGACCCCAGCCTACCAACAAGGCTTGGTACATCTTGCTGCAGGGATTCCACCCCGGACCTTACATTTGTAAGGAACATCAAGAAGGCCCAGTGGATGAACCTTGCTGTAGACCTAGGGAGTGACCACTGCATTCTTGCCACTACCTTCTCCGTGGAGCGTAAAAAGCAGAGAGAATTCCACTTCACAGACTGGGATAAGTTCAGGAAGATAAGGATGGAAAGGGAACAAGATGGCCACAGACAAGGCTTGGAGCAGTGGGTCAAACAGATTAAAGATGACATCAAATCCGTCTCCTCCACCATTACCACAGATCTTCCGATTGAAAGAATGGATAGCCGGCTTGCTCATCTTCTTGAGGCAAAGCAAGCACTACTGAACCGTTGGAAGGGTCAGCGCCTGAACCGAAGACTGAGGAAGAAGATAGCTGAGGTAAACAGATCAGTCGAGGAACATTGTCGCGCACTATCGAGGCAGCAATGGGACGAAATCTGCAACGCCGTCGATGGTCAGATGCGCAATGGCAAGACATGGAATATGTTAAAGCATCTCCTCAACGAAAACACCACCAAAACAAATCAAAAGCATGTTATCGCTCGAATTTTGCATAAAGAGATAGGGTGCACTACAGAACAGCAAGTTGTCCAGCAGCTCATGCATAAGTACCTCCCAATCAAAAGAGGATTGGCACCACCAAGTAGACAGTACCAGGGCACGCCAAATCCAGGTATTGAGGGCGACTTTAACATCGAGGAGATCAGAAGAGCCTTGCATGATCTCAACGGCAGGTCGGCCCCTGACCCGGACGGTATATCAAACAAGGCCCTGCATAACCTTGACGACGATTCAATTGAAACCCTGAGGGATATGATCAATTGAGCATGGAAAGAAGGAAGGGTGCCAGAGCAGTGGAAGCTGGCCAGCACGATCCTTATTCCTAAGCCAGGAAAGCCCCCTAACTTGGACAACATGAGGCCAATATCCTTGACATCATGTATCGGCAATGTCGCAGAACATGCCATACTGCACAGGATAAACAAGTACTTGGAAGATAACAACATATATACACACAATATGGTTGGATTCAGAGCAGGGCTATCCACACAAGATGCATTGAAGCTTATCAAACACCAGGTCATTGACAATGAAACCAGAGACGTGAGAGCCATTCTGTGCCTAGATCTAGAAAAAGCGTTTGACAACATCCACCACTCATTCATACTCGAAGCAATTTCCAAGCTTGGTCTAGGGAAAACCTTCTATGACTACGTATGGTCCTTTCTTACAGATCGGAAAGCCGTGATGAAGATTGCAGATATCGAGACCGCAGCAATCGAACTAGAAGCAAGGGGCACGCCACAAGGGGCAGTGATTTCACCAATGCTGTTCAACATTGCCATGATTGGACTGTCAAAGAAATTATCAAGCATTGAAGGATTGAAGCACAGCATCTACGCAGACGACATTACCATCTGGTGCACAGGTGGAAGCGAGGGGCAGATTGAGAGCGCTCTGCAAGAGGCGATTGACACCGTAGAAGACTACCTTCGCCCTTCCGGGCTCAAGTGCTCCTCGAGTAAGCCAGAACTTTTGCTTTATCGGACTGCACGCCGGGGACCAAAGCCCAGGGGATGGAAGCCGTTAAACCAGATAGACATCCATCTCCGTACAAATCAAGGAAATGCCATCCAGAGGGTCGACTCCATCAAAGTCCTGGGAATGCTGATAGAGTCTACCGGCGCCAACAGCAAATCTATAGCCAAGTTAACTCGGAAAACAGACAGTGCGGTGCACCTCATACGCAGAGTGGCCAACAAAAGAAATGGGATCAAGGAAGACAGCCTCATCAGGTTGATGCATGCGTTTGTTCTAAGTCACTTCACATACGAGGCAGCAATGCACAACTGGTCAAGAGCAGAGTCCGAGACACTGAGTGTGCTCCTCAGGAAAGTTATCAAGAAGGTCCTGGGCCTACCCATACATACCAGCACCGAGCGTCTGCTTGAGCTTGGCATACACAACACGCTCGAAGAAATAGCAGAAGCCCAAGAGAGAGCACAGTTTGCAAGGTTATCTACTACAAGGTCGGGGAGAATGATCCTGCAGGAGCTGGGCCAACACCCAAACGCAATCAGACGCAATTACAATGATATCCCTGACAACATCAGGGAGACTATCACGGTATCTCCTATACCGAGAAACATGCATCCAGAACACAACGTCGGAAGAAGAGTAGCGAGGGCCAGGACTATACTTCGTCGTCTCAAACGAGGAACGAGGGGTCGTATTTGTTGACGCGGCTTCCTACACCAATGGGAAAGCGTTTGTGGCAGTGGTAGTCGATGGGGCTGGCCATGTCGTCAACTCAGCGACGGTCAGGACGAAAGACCCAATCATTGCGGAACAAGTGGCCATCGCCTTAGCACTGAAGATGGATAACATTGAAATGGTCTACAGAGATTCCATGGCAGCACTACGGGCGTTCGCCAAGGGGACGGTCTGTGAACAAACGCTGAAAATACTGCAAGGCAAGAACATAACACATCATCTTCTGAGTTGGTTCCCAGCTCACCTTGGTCAAATCAACGATTCCCCTCCCAATCTCAACGAAGCAGCACACGAGGCGGCGCGAGAACTCTCCAACCGCGCCTCCCCGGGGATGCGTTCTACCGGTGAAGGGGATAACCGGGAAATTCTTACAACATATAACGAGCTCACTAAACATTTCTACCTGTCTAGAAGGATTTTCCCTCCACCTCACAAAAATCTAACCCGGCCCCAAGCACTTACATTAAGGCTTTTGCAAACGCGGATGTACCCTACTTTGAAAATGTTACACATCATGTACCCTGACCTATACCCAAGTAATCTTTGTCCACATTGTGGGGAAATAGCTTCATTAGAACACATGCTCTGGCAGTGCACCAAATTCGCTCATTTATCGCACATCACCTCTCCCACGGTTGTAAGAGATACAAGAGAATTACTTGTTAAATTTTGTACTCCTGATTTATTCAATATTGATTGCACTTGATATTATTGTTCTATTCGTATTCATTTGTACGCAACCTTATCGATGTTGTTTTTATTTCTGTATTCCCTGGACAACCGATGAATTAACTTTTCCTTCGTCTAAATTTGAAAATTTGAAAACACAATGGGACGACACATGTGCTCGTTTCAATCCATTGGCAAGTGTTCATTGTGTAATTACTTCGGTTCATCTCGTACAAACAGAGAAAGGGAAGCAACAAGCGAAGCATCGCAAAGAAAGAAAGAAAGAAAGAAAGAGAGAAAGAAGAAAGAAAGAAAGAAAGAAAGAAAGAAAGAAAGAAAGAAAGAAAGAAAGAAAGAAAGAAAGAAAGAAGAAAGAAAGAAGAAAGAAAGAAATCCATTGTGGTTTAGAAAGTCACGACATTGTCTTCAGCTGAGTCAGTGAAAATGGAGCGGACGTTTCAGCTCCGCTTCCAAGAGCTTAGAGCGCGATAGCGTGATCGGGCCCCGATCATATCGCCTTCTCGTTCGCTTGTCGAGACTCGATTCTCGGAGGACATTGATAAACGCGCGCCGCGAGAGAAGGAGCGTCTGTACTCGCAGCGTCGGCCGTTTGAAACTCCCCTAATGTTGTGCCTTGTACTACAAGTGCAGTTGCGAAGCGCACACTGCGCCGTAATTGATGATTATAAGAATCGGCAAACTACACACACTACGCGTCCGTAAGACAATACAAGGTTCTGCAAACTTTGCTGATGCTGTTGTCGCTGCTGTTGACGGTTATTCACTATGCCTGAGCGCCTTGTCCTGGGTGGGCCTTCAAAACACCCACTCATTTCGCAGTTCACGTGATTTGAAGCTTTGCGCAATTCTGTCCTTGTCTCTGTGTCGTCGTTTTGTTCTCGCACTATAACTATCGCCATGCCATACCAACTAGCCCAAGCTGCCACACTTCTGCAGTACCGCCGCACAATATTGCGTGTGTTTAAGGGATTCCTTACACTACGTGACTCATGCTTTGGTTTTGTTTTTGTTTTTCCGAAGCAATTTCAAAGCACTGCTGTGGCATTCTGGTATAACACCAGACTGGCGCGAGAGGTGTCTGAGGTTTCGTTGCCACTCGAACCCAACAATTTTTATTCAATTAGTTGCACCTAATGAACTTTTTTTCTTTCGCTCCCGAACAATGCTGATCTATCAATCAATGAGGTCGTTTACACCGTGGAAGAAGTTCTACGGCACGGTATCTTTAACGCTATAGCGTCGAAGTATAGGACACGAAAACGATGAATCGTATTGTCAATGAAAATTTGTAGAGTAGAGAGCGATAATGTATACGTCACAGCCGTTTACACCAGAATCGTGAGCATTCGGGTTCGTCGGTTCTTGACCTGCTGATAAAGCAGCGCCGGTCTCCCGTTTTCAGTCGAGCAGATTTTAGTCATCCAGGAGAAGACTAAAATGTGGCGTAGCCAGGGGGCGGAACACCAGGTCGATGCACCTTCCCCCTCCCCCCCCCCCCCCCCACACACACACACAATTTTTTTTTAATTTGTCATGAAATATAGAACACAAAATGGCACTCCCCAGCATTTGTCTGCCTGCCCCTAACCCCCTCCCCATTCATATCAAAGATGTGGCACCTCCCCCCCCCCCCCCCCCTCTAAAAGTTTCTGCCTAAGCCCCCGAGATCAGTATCAATATTTTTCTTGAAACCTCACGTCCAATCTCCTTCACAAGTTACCCCTTGCGTGATACCGGAAAGACGTTCCTTCAAATGGCAACTTTAAGCGACATTTTGTTCACTTCCCCCTCTTCCCTCCGTCCCATCGCTCCAACCATCTCCACTGTTCTGGTCACTGTGCAGGACTGAATTTCGTGACTGCTGTTGACTAGCTGGGTTGAGTTTGAGATCCCAGATTTACTTTATAAGTAGGTAGCGCATGACCGTCGTAGCAATAATGTGCAGCACGAAGTATATCCGGCACACGGCGAACATAAAATGCACGAAAAGCTTTACCTCCGTTCGTCTTTCGCTGTGGTTTTCCAGTTCAACTGGAGCGAGTACCTGTCGGTGTTCCTTCCCGTGGAGGTGAGCCCGGACGAGCCTCTCGTGGTCTACTCGGTGCCCTACCTGCGCCAAGTGGGACAGATTCTGGTCGACACCGACCAACGGTACGCGCCAGCTCCTTCGCAATGCACATATCATCCCTCACCCTCACCCTTTCCCCCAGTGCAGGGTAGCAAACCAGACGTGCGTCTGGTTGACCTCCCTGCCTTTCATTTCTTCCCTTCCTCCTCCTCCTCCTCCTTTTCTGACGGCTTAGAACTTGCGAAGCTAACGCATGCTTCGTGATTTATTGCAAGTTATCACCACGATATGCCTTGCCACTTTTACGCATGCGTCTAACTGAAGGGAAGGGAACAAAAAAGCAACAAAAAATTCAAGTTGAATCAAATTACTTGATGTAAAAAAGCACAGAAAGGCTTTAACATAAATGACACATTCTCCGCACTCAACATGGACGCTGAAAGCATTTTACAACAATATACCAAGCATGTGCGCACGGGACAAGAACGCCTGTTCTACATACAAAAGAAAAAACAATTTCTCAGCATGACAGAAACTCGAGGGCGCGATTCGTGTCAGTCAATGAGGGACACACGAGACAAGAAGAGAGCAGAGTGGATTAAGGAACAAACGGGGGTTAGGAATGCCATAGTTGAAATCAAGAAGAGGAAATGAACATGGGCCGGGCATGTAGCACGTAGAGAGGATAACCACTGGTCGTTAAGGGTAACTAACTGGATTCCCAGAGAAGGCAAGCGGGTGAGGGGGAGACAAGTTAGTAGGGCAGATGAGACTAAGAAGTTTGCGGGTACAAATTGGAAGCAGAAAGCACAGGAACGAGTTGAGTGGCGGAACATGGGAGAGGCCTTTGTCCTGCAGTGGACGCAGTCAGACTGATGATGATGATGACGATGATGACGACACGAGACAGGCGACGACAAAAACTTGTGCCCGTGTTTTGCACTCTGGCAGGACGCTGCACAACTTCGCCGTGTGGCGGCTGGTGAACTACCTGCTGGCCTACCTGGACGGCGAGTACGCGCACAAGCGGAACGCCTTCCGCAAGGTGATGCTGGGCGTGTCGGCGGACAAGGTGCGCTGGAACCACTGCGTCGAGCTGGCCAACAAGAAGATGGGCATGGCCGTCGGCGCCCTCTTCATACGCGACAACTTCGACCCGCACAGCAAGGAGACCGTATGCATTTTTTTTTCCTTTTGCTCCGCAACTCCGCTTGTATATAAAACGTACATTCATTAAGAAATATTAATGAATTCGGTTCTTGTTGGCGACAAGTTACCTTCTCGTCTAGTTTTCTTTTTTTTTCACATTTACATTACAATCACTTCTAATAGCATCCCCTTACACAGTTTGGCATCTTCTCCTGTTAGTTTTCATTGATATTGTGTAACAAAGAAAACAAGTCCTTAAATTCAAGTTTCTTTTCTACATTCATTAACTAAGTTACCTCATCAATAAGTACATATATGTTTTTAAAGACGGTGAAAAAGCTCCGGGAAAGCGCCTTAACAGAATATAATTCTAGGCAGTTCAGAGGCGAATGTTAAGTTTCTTTCCTTCATTCATTAACTAAGTTACCTCATCAATAAGTACATATATGTTTTTAAAGACAGTGAAAAAGCTTCGGGAAAGCGCCTTAACAGAATATAATTCTAGGCAGTTCAGAGGCGAATGTTATATTTTGTTACAAGTGGAACTGCTAAAATTTAACCTGTGCTTGTACAAAACGTCGATTTCATCCGAAATATACCTTGATCATTTCCATATGCACAAGAAGAGAATAACCATATATGATCTCCGAAACTTTTACTTTTCGCTACATTTTTTGTGGCAATCTGTTTCACTGTTCAATATTGAAACTCCATGACCGATCTACTTTTCCCACATTGCTCGAGTCTACACGAGAGTGACGCGGAAGAACTGAACGTGGCTGTTTCACGCATGCGTGCAGGCGCTGGAGATGATACACAACATCCGCGAGGCTTTCAACGAGCTTCTCAAGGAGAACGACTGGATGGACACCGAGACCCGCAAAGTGGCCGAAGAGAAAGTACGCAAACATCAACGGCGTGAATAGATGAATGAATGTACACTCGTCACAAGTAGGCTCTTCAGGTCGCGGCGTTTTCTCATAAGAGGAGAATGAATGCTAACAATTTGCGGAAAGATTGTAAAGCATTGCGCCCAAAGATAAAGTGCAGGGAATCGTTATGCCTGCTGCTCTGTTCAGAATTAAAAGGATGAGATTACAGTCGTTCGCGCGCGCAGGGCCAACATTCCAAAACAGTCTTGAACGACTTGCTTCGTTCACGTAGTGCCGCATAAAGCACCCGGTAACATTGGTCCATTCAGCGGTTTGTTGCTAATTAGCAATGAAGAAGAGATATGTACCTGCCGTCGCCCTCAGCATTCTTTGTCGGTATTCAACAGATGAGGCCATGACGACACAGCAACGTGCATAACAATCTTCTTTTTTTTTTGTACTTCACAAAAAATGTAATCTACAAGACATTTTAAACGCACAGTCTCGAGCATCGAGTAAAACAGTGGAAGCAAACAATTGAAAGAACAACAGTGCAAAACAACCATTGTTCGAATGAAGGCTTGAAACAGCCATTCTGTGAGGCCCTTTTGCCGTGCTCTAAAGTGTACACTGACCGGAAGGATGACAAGTCAGCCTCTTCTATGTTAACGCCACCGTCATGCTTTCTTTCACTTGTCGTTAGTAAACATTCCGAAACATTTGCATGGTGTGTATAGCTTCTGGAACTAGCGTTTTTATTACTACCTTGCACTGTAAAAGCGCCTCGCGTTTGGTTCCCCACTGCCAGCACAGGCATGAGCAGGAGAGGGTGGTGGCGGTGGGAGGGGGGTTAGTCCAACTTGAAGACGAGGGGCGCTGCGACGACCCTTCACCCAACCTCCCTCCCCCTGATGGGAAACCCCGCGCTCACCTGTGGCTGCCCCATACTATTAAAGATCGACTCCATTGACGAATTGGCGTATCACTTCAAATACTTCAACTTGACTAGAATTTTCTTGAAAATATTAAATTTCTTTTTTGAGCAGAAATCGTACTAACAACTCAAAACTTTATATGCATGTTATAAACATCGTTGTGACGCGTCTTTAGACAAAAAAAAAAGCAACAGCGTAAAAGAAGCAAAGATGAAGAAGAAATGTCCTGTGGTCTTCGTTTTTTCGTCGCCCTTGGACCTTTCGCGCTGTCACTTACGTTTTGTTTTTTGCTCGAAATGTTAACCAACTAGCCCTCATAATGTTTTTACTAATGCATCGTCCTTCTTTGTGCAACCGCAGGCTAATGCTATGAACGAAAGGATTGGCTATCCGGAACTCCTCACCAACCCGTACGAGCTATCCAAGGAATACGACTCGGTGAGCTATTTTTCTTGTACTGAATGTGCGCTCAGCGAGGACTACCGATCTCGTAATCAGTCTCACACTCAACGGAACTGCTTCTCAAGCAACAACATGAAACACGCATACACAGGTACAGACCTCATTAGGTTATCCAGCACGCAAGGACGAACTTGCTTCAAGGGGTGACAGGGACTCGCCACTTGCTAGAGACAGATCTGTCATCTGCTCGTGATGCACGGAAACAACGATGAGTGAAATGTCGCCACGCGACCCTGACCGTGATTTCTGACGTTTAGTATGCATGCAAGACGCACAATTAGCAAACTCAGTGTAACAGTGTTGGTTTGTCAGGATACCGTGCAGTGCGATGGGGCTGACTTTCACACGCTTAGCAAGGGAAGGCTTTTATTTCAAAGTAAAATATTTTATACGTGCTTTCTGGCTCCACTTTGTTGAGAGCATTAACATTGCATACCAAGAAAACTAACGAAATATGTCCGTTTTGCGATGTTTCAAAATCGTGCCAATACTCCCTTAATGATTACCCTGATAAGCTAATGCAAACAGAACAAGAACTGGCAGCTGCTCTTTGATTGTCTCTTGCTAACCCGCAAGCTACCACTTTAAACCAATTCTGTGATTAGAGGGTCAGTCGTTTGCTTCCACCGCGACTGTATTTATTCACCTACGTGGCCTTGCCGCGCAGCTTTGACAACGGTTCCCATACGCTGTCGCAGTTGGTGGTGCACGAAGACCTGTACCTGGACAATGTGTTCAACATCCTGCAGTTCGAGGCCACTCGCAACCAGCTCAAACTACGACAGCCCGTCAACAAGGAGAAGTGAGCAATTCTCATGCGGGAACAGTTCTCGCGATACGTTTCTGCTTTCCGCGTAATCGCGTGTCTGTCCAGCGCACGGGTTGAGAGCGAGACATATGCAAAGCACAGAAAGTGGCAATGCATGGAGAAGTACATCTGAATACGAGCAACAATATTGCGCCGACGCGAAGGTGCAGTTGACTCTGGCAGTCATAGTTCGTACGATCCGACTTATGTATTGTTGGAATGTGCTGCAGCCCTCCAAAATTACAAGAGCATCCGCACAACTGAAAATCAGTTTCGTATTTTTTTTTTGCCCCATAGTTTTCTCGCTTCCCGATTTAGTGGCACTGTGTTTTTACTGTACATAATGAATTACGTAAATACATTGTCGAAAATACCGCAGGCTGAGAATCCATGCCATCGTAAAATGCGGGAAGCCCCTCGCGAAGTTCTCGTTGTCTCGACGCTGTTATTCTACAAACGCACACGCTACAAATATTAACGGAGAATGTAAGTTTCGACTAACTTCAATGTTCATCTTAGTCATTAAATGACATCTTTCGCCAGGCATGCATTAGAATGCGCATACGTGTTGCGTTATTTCTCGCTCCACTAAACTTCGGGAAGTCTGCCTCGCCTGCATCGCAATGCATCGAAACCAAACGAGGCGCGACGACGGGGCGTTAGGTCGTAAGCATAGTTCTCCCCATTTGCAGATGGACTACGGAACCAGCCGTGGTGAACGCATTTTACAACCCCAACAAGAACGACATCGTATTCCCGGCCGGGATCCTTCAGCCTCTCTTCTACAGCCACCATTTTCCCAAGTGAGTGCCTCTCTTTCTTTTGGCCCATGGACGCTGCCGAAAGTAGAAGAGGTCCTATATGGGCTCGCGGGGCATTCACTTCAGCCTCGCGTGCTCTGCTGCGCAAGGTCTTCAGCTTACGGTTCATTAGGCCATAGTCATCGACTGGGCCTCCTTTTCCTAGTTTTCCACCGCTGCTTCGGGCCTTCCGCACTGCGCCGCCACATGCAGAGGATGGGGGCAGTTTCAAATGTAATGACTCCAGTAGAGGCGCAGCCGGAATTTTTTTTTTTCGGGAAGCAATATGGGACCAATTACACTTTATGTATGTTCGTGCGTGCGTTTGTATGCGCTCGTGCGTACATACCCACGCTAAATTGAAAATTTCCGTGAAAAGCATTAATAGAGAGTAGAAAAGCGGTTTCACACATGTAAAATCTCTCTGGAATTTCCTTTCCGTTTCCTCATGCACCGCCGATAGCTCATTCTTATTTTTCACAGCGGAGCTCTTATCCCCGACCTGAGCGGATCGCTGCGTGCGAAGACCCAAAATTCAGCGCCACAGAAGTGGTGTATTTGGAAGGATTAAAATATATAATTACTGTATATATTCTACCTATGGGCCTGAGCTTTCCCTGAAAAAAAAAAAACAGCGCTGGGACGGGACATAAAAACTGCGAAAACACCAAGAGAAAAGTGTGCCCCGTAACTGTCTGCATCAAAGTGCGACACCTCAACAATATAGCTCACAAGGGATGGGGGTAAGAAGGAATTAAAAGAATATGATTAAAACGTATATATAAAGAGAGGAAGGAGAGAGCGAGGCGCGGGTACAGCGAGCGACGGAAGTAAAGAGGAGATAGAAAAAATGGAAACGGTCGCAGGCACGGAGGAAAGAAACCTTTCCTTCCTCCGTGGTCGCAGGAGTCCGAGGACGGGGCACCACACAGCGAGATCTCTTGTCGGCGTCAGGAGATGGCGTAGGGGGAGCCCAGTCGGCCATAGCTGCGCTGTCGCCGGAGATCGCAGGGGCACAACCGGTCGGCACGAAATCCAGCGAGCGAGTGCGCGCTGCTAAACACCAATCTTTCTTACCCGATATCGTGAATGCCTTTCGCGCTAATGGCGGAGAGTAAGCTGTGTCAGACACTCGCCGCGCTGCGTGTCTTTTCGAAACTTCATTTGGAGAAATAAATAATGGTATGGAAATTAGGACCGCGATCCTCTCCCTGAAACATAGCGTTTTCTCCATTTTCTCTATTGCTACCCTTCGCCTTATTACTAAAACATTTGCTGGTTGATTGATTGATTAATTAATTGATCCCTTGCGGCACAGGTCCCTCAACTACGGAGGCATAGGCGTCGTCATAGGACATGAGATTACCCACGGCTTTGATGACAAAGGTAACCAAAGGATCTCTTACGTTTTGCCAATAAAATATTGCAGTGAGCAGAGTTATCTCAGTTCAACTATTTTTACCACAATGACTTTTTTAAAATGCTGGACAGCTATCACTTTTGTGGCCAAATAAAAGTATTCCATGCTTCTTCACCTTCATAGGGAGGTATACATGTTTTTTTTTTTTTTCCTGTATAAATATCTCGTTTATCTGTAACAACGGCGTGATGCGTATAGTTGTACGGAAGATGAAAGCCACCCCTTAAGCGACTTATTTGGCATTAAGAACGGGAAAAATCGTGGAAGAATGTTTGAAACGTCTGTAAGTGTGTTTCCGAGCCTCTTCGTTATTTGCCCACGTATACACACTGGCGGATCAGGACGGCAGTTCGACAAGGATGGCAACCTGAAGCCCTGGTGGAACAACAAAACTGTGCAGACGTTTCGCGAGAGGGCCCAGTGCATGGTGGACCAGTATTCCAGCTACGTCCTTGAAGACGTCAACCTCAACGTAAGCGCTATACACCTACCAAGTAGGTTTAGGTTTAGTTATTTAATCTCGAGAAGCACAGCCTGTCTTTTTATGTCTGTTGAATAGAATGTTGCTCGATTTACACAGAATACTTATCCCTCGCTAGGTTAAAGCCTGCGCGAACTTCTAGGAACCACTTATAACTGCCATGCGCCGTATACCGAAAGCCCGAACGTGTCCCTCGTTGGCATGACCGCAGGCTACGAAGGGACGTGTCGATTATTTACCCCCGTATTCTAGAACGCCCCTTCACTCAAAGCCCCATCTTCACTTGAGAAAGTAGAGTGCCTCGATGCACGCGCCCCCGCTTAGAGTGGTGTCAGCCTTTGTAAGGGCAGGTGCCGCCTCCTCGGCCTTAGCGGCGGCGTGGCCGCCATTTTGACTCCACTCAGTCACTTCTGCGTGTTCGCTGCGCCCGAATAATTGTGCTGGCGCTCGCTTTTCTCCGGTTTAACGCACTCGCTACCGTCACCGTAGCGGGTATTGCGTGCCGCGGGGCACTAATCATTGCAGAAACTCTGGAAGCTGTATCGTTTCCTAAGAGACCCGAAATGAATGCCTTTTCAACAGTGAAAACCAAACATGACAAGTGGCATCCGACAAACAGATCATCCATTCACAGCGTAAGTTTCCAGCCGGTATTCCGCATGCATAATTTGTACCGGCACCAATTTCGTGTAAGCAACAGGCTGTATGCTTGATTTTCGTGTGCATGAATCACGTATTTCACTTCGTAAACATTGCTTGCTGCTCTTGGTTGGTACTGTATCTGCCCTTCATTCTTGGTTTCACTATGCGCGATGAGAACTTTATCATTAAATATACATTACACGTGTTTTTTTTTTTTTGCAGGTGATATCCTTGTTTTTTTTTTTCGTAATATTCATTTGTGGGAATAAAGCTTGACGCAGCGGTGGTGTCGTACCCAATGAAGTTTGAAGAGTGTGTGTACGTTCCGGAATCACCATATGATCACGAGAGACGCGGTATACATTGGAGGACTTCGGAAATTTTGAACAGGTGTTTTTATGTAACTTGCACCTAAGTTTAAGAACTCCGGCATTTCATCTCCATCGAAGTGGGGCCACTGCGGCCGGAATTCGATTACCGACCGTTCGAGCGCCCGAACCATTACAAAGCCACGCAGGTTCTTTCTTTCTACGATCTTTTCCTCGGTTTAGGTACGCCTTCTATGCTGGTGTGATGACCCTTGTAAGAATGTGTGCAGTTCAATTTTTTTTTCATTGTTCCTGTACTTCAAGTTTTCTTTTCGTCCTGTCTCGAATCATTACGCAATTGATGTTTTTTTAATCATTTACGACCACTGAGAAGCAACTAGTGACAGTACTCAGTGAATTCTGCCATGGAGCGTATAACTTGAATTGCTTCTGGCAGCGCTGCATTAATGCGCAAAAATAAACTATTTCTACACTGGATGATAATAGGGGAAACGGCAGGCGTGCACACACGCGCGCGCACACACACACACCGTCAGTATTTAAACTCTTTCAGCACGCATTATTATTTAAGTAAATAATTTATTTATTTATACTGTGAGCTATCAGGGATCATACGCAAGTGCTTATGCAAACTGTACTCGCGAAGCGTCCATACAAAAAAGATGCATAAAGACAAGACAGGGCACCACTGTGTAGAATGAACACGCTATGTCGCAAAAAAAACAAAAAAAAAACAAGTCAAGTTGTGCGATGAGAAGATCGTGGAGAAATAGTTAATGCAATAAGAAAGGCGTCCGCCTCAGTGGTACCGTGGGCACGGTGCTGGGTTGCTGACGCGAGGCTCGCGCTTTCGATCTAGGCCACGGTGGTCTCCTTTTGAATAACGTAAAACACCAGAGGACACCCATGTACTGTGTCAGTACAGGCAAAAAAAAACTGATTGTCAAAATTGCTGCAGTCCCGCAAGCAGGCGTCATTTTAGAACGTAAAAGCCTCATATAATAATTAACACTAACAAAGAAAGCATATTGCCGCGAACGTAATAACAGACAGCGACGAAACGACGTCTTGCTTGCCCTCAGACCAGGACGCAAAAGCCCTATTCTTTCTTCACTTCCAAGGGATTCCACCTACAGTTGATGGCTCATACCCATTACCTGTGACATTACTCCCTCTCCTCGAAAAGCATCGGCTCGATGCTGGTAATGAGCGTTGAGAAAACAAATGAGAAAAAAATGCTATCATGGAACCCAACAACTCCGTCGTAAGGGAGAAAAAAAAAATGGGCTGGCGTCCTAGAAGTACTCAATAAAGAAAGGAGTAAGTACACAAGACAATAAAAAAACCAAAGTGACAAAAAAATAGTCATTGCATGGTAAGTTAGTCCACGTTCGATGGATGACGCGAGAAATATGGCTTGAGTCTTGACACGTGCACCACATCACTTTGTGGAAACCGACGGGAACGTCTTGAGGCGCCCTCAGGGAGAACTTCATACGTAACGTCACTGAGTCGGCGCAGAACTTTGTAAGGGCCGAAGTAGCGCCGAAGCAACTTCTCAGAGTGACCACGCTGTCGAATGGGAGTCCACACCCAAACTTTATCGTCTGGTTGGAAGGTAACCTCTCGGTGTGTAAGGTTGTAGCGGTGTGCGTCGGCAGTTTGGCGAGCCTGAATACGGCATCGGGCGAGTTGACGGGCCTCCTCGGCGCGTTGAGCGAACAATTCAGCGTCCGTGTTGAACATGCTCAAGTTGTTGGGAAGGATCATTGCGTCGAGCATTGTGGTGACCTCTCGACCATGAACTAAGCGAAATGGGGTGAAACCTGTACTCTCTTGGACTGCTGTATTGTAAGCAAAAGTTACGTAAGGGAGTATATCATCCCAGTTCTTGTGATCAACGGCCACATACATTGACAGCATATCTGCAATGGTCTTGTTCAACCGTTCAGTGAGTCCATTTGTTTGGGGGTGATAACCCGTGGTTTTCCGATGTTCTGTACCACTTAGTCTCAGCACTTCTTGAAGCATCTCTGCGGTGAAAGCTGTACCACGATCAAATTATCACAGCTGGCGCTCCGTGACGAAGTACGATGCTGGTGACAAAAAACTGTGCAATTTCGGCTGCGGTAGCTTTGGGCAGGGCCTTTGTTTCGCTGTAACGCGTTAAATAATCGGTGGCAACCACAATCCACCGGTTTCCTGACGAAGAGGTGGGAAATGAGCCGAGCAAGTCAATGCCAATTTGATGGAATGGTGTCTTCGGCGTGGCGATAAGCTGTAACAGTCCTGCTGGTCGGACAGGTGGAGTCTTACGGCGTTGGCAGTCGCGGCATGTGCGGACGTACTGCTTGACTGTCTTCGCGAGGCGGGGCTAGTAGTATGAGCGGCGAATTCTTTCCAATGTGCGCCTGTAGCTAAGGTGTCCGGATGATGGTTCATCGTGACAAGCATGTAAAATATCGTCCCGAAGCGAGGTCGGCGCAACCAGTAGATAAGTAGCCTGGGTATGGTCGAAATTTTTCTTATAGAGGACTCCATCCCTGATGCAGAACGAGGCCAGCGAACGTGCAAAGTTTCGAGAAAGGCTGCGTTTTCGGCCTTCGAGGTAGTCAATCAGCGGGCTTAGCTCCATGTCGTCGCGTTGTTGTTGAGCCAAGTCGGTTGCTGACACAGAAGAAAGGAATGAATCGTCCTCTTCAACGTCCGCGTTCGTACTTCGAAGTGGTGCACGCGAGAGACAGTCAGCATCAGTGTGTTTGCGTCCTGACTTGTGAATGACTGTAACGTCAAATTCTTGCAGCTGAAGGCTCCAGCGTGCTAGACGACCGGAAGGGTCTTTGAGGTTGGCGAGCCAGCATAAAGAATGGTGGTCGCTAACTACCCTGAATGGTCGACCGTATAAATAAGGGCGAAACTTTGTTATAGCCCAAACAACGGCTAAGCATTCTTTTTCTGTTGCAGAGTAGTTTTTCTCTGCAGATGATAGTGTTCGACTTGCATAGGCAATCACGCGCTCTACACCATTTTGCCATTGAACCAGTACAGCTCCAAGTCCGACGTTGCTGGCATCCGTGAGTAGCTCTGTGGCAGCGTTATCGTCAAAGTGACCGAGTACAGGTGGGGCTTGGAGATGGTTTCGTAGCGCGTCAAAGGCGTGATGCTGATCATGACCCCAAACAAACGGTGCGCCGTCTTTCGTAAGTTCATTTAGCGGTTCAGCGACTTCAGAAAAGCCTTTGACGAAGCGTCTGTAATATGCGCAGAGTCCCAGAAATCGGCGGAGGTCGCGCTTGTTCGTTGGGACAGGAAATGCGGCAACAGCTTTCGTTTTCTCAGGGTCTGGGTGTATACCGGCGTGGCTGACGACGTGACCAAGAAATTTTAGTTCCTCGAATGCAAAGTGGCATTTCTCAGGTTTGAGAGAAAGTCCAGCTGTTCGAATCGCCTGAAGAACTGCCTGTAAGCGCTGGACGTGCTGCTCAAACGTGTCCGAGAAGACGACCACATCGTCAAGGTAGACAAGACACGATTGCCATTTTAGCCCAGAAAGAACCGTGTCCATCATTCTTTGAAAAGTAGCTGGTGCCGAGCATAAGCTGAAGGGGAGGACCTTGAACTCGTAGAGTCCGTCATGAGTAATGAAGGCGGTCTTTTCGCGGTCGCGCTCATCAACAGATATTTGCCAATAGCCGCTGCGTAGATCCATGGAAGAAAAGTAACGAGCATTGCGAATGCGTTCCAGCGAGTCGTCTATTCGTGGTAAAGGATACACGTCTTTCTTCGTGATCTTATTGAACTTTCGGTAGTCGACGCAAAATCGCAGAGTACCATCTTTTTTTCTTTACTAACACAACAGGGGACGCCCAGGGACTGGTCGATGGCTGGATGACATCGTCCTTGAGCATCTGCTGGACCTGTTGGCGTATAACGTCTTGTTCTTTTTGCGAGACTCTGTAGGCATGCTGTCGAATGGGTCTCTCGGTAGGCTCGGTGATGATACGATGCTTGGCAAGCGGTGTTTGGTTAACTTTCGAAATCGTAGCGAAGCAGTCCCGAAATGAGCCGAGTAGCTTCAAAAGACGTTCCCGTTGTGCAGACGGTAGACCATGGTTTACGTCGAGAGTGCTTGAAAATGTCATGGCGGAATCGTCGCACGACGAAAAAGCAGATAATGTTGAGGGACCGGGGACGTTGGCAATATCCTCAAGGTATGCGATCGCAGTGTGTTTGGTAAGATGGCGATACTCCTCGCTGAAATTCGTGACGAATAGGCAAGCCTGCTTTCTACTGGGCTGAACAATACCTCGGGCAACGCAGATTTGTTGTGCAAAAAGTAGGGACAAATTTCCTTCTGCCATTACAGCATAGGGGACGTCTTGGTCACATTCAACGTTGATAAAAAGGCTGCTGCGGGGAGGCAGAGTAACAGATTCGAAGATACACGTAGGGCAGCCTTCGATGAGCGGGCGTTTTCCGGTTCAGGATGAAACGGGTCCTCGAACGACACCTGCAAGTCTCTTAGGTCAATAATTGCGCCGTGTTCGCGAAGAAAGTCCAGCCCCAGAATGATTGGACGGGAGCACACAGGTAATACGAGGAAAGACCCTGTGAACGTCGAAGCATGGACTCGAACACGGGCTGTGCACATTCCAGTCGGCGTGACGAGGTGGCCACCTGCCGTGCGCAACGGCGGTCCTTGCCGAGGGGTAGTAACCTTCCTCAGTTGGGATGCTAGGGCGCTGCTCATAACTGAATAATCGGCGCCGGTGTCGACGAGAGCAGTGACGACGTGATTATCGACGTGTACGGTGATGTCGGCGGAAACAGTCTTATGACTTTCGGAAACGACTGGAAAGTCAGAACGGTCTTCGTCGGATCTTTGCGTCGAAGGAGGCTCTTTGACAGTTCGTTGGGACGCGGCTTCACCCCCAGGAGCCGCGGTTTCTAGTTTCCCCTGTGGGGACTCGGTGACCGGCCTCTGAAAGGAGCATAGGATGACGAGGGAATGCTAGGTGACGTGGGGCGGCGAGGTGATGGAGATCGTGATTGGGGGCGTGGACCAAGGCGAGGAGCTTGCTGGCCCGTAAGGTACGCTTCGATGTCGCGGGGACGCTCACCGTAACGCGGGCACCGAGCATCAGGGTGAAAGCCACGGAGACCAAGTTGGCGGTACTGGCAGTTACGGTAGACGTGACCCGCTTCGCCACAGTGGTAGCAGAGTCGACGGTTATCAGACGTACGCCACACGCTGGCCTTTGTGGCGTTCTGCCGCGATCCAGACGGACGATAAGTTGGTGCACTCGGAAACCTTGAGGCGGGTGGCGGAGTCGAAGAGGTGCCCTGGAATCGATGGCTAGCCTGATCCATTCTCCCCATGGTGGGATCAGGGCCATGTGGTGCAGGAGACCACACAGCCGCCGCATAAGTCAGCACAGGGGCCTCAGGCCTTGTTGGCGCGAGTGGGGTGACCACCTGTCGGATCTCATTTCGGATTAAGTCTGCGAGATCACTTACGGGTGGTTAGGGTCCCGCTGCTTGGAGTTGGCGCAGCTCGTCCCGCACGATGCTTCTTATGAACTCAGCGAGAACATGTCTCTCGCTGTCAGCCCCGATAAAGCATGCAGCAGGGGTCACGTCGTGGCGTTAATACTGTGACGACCTATACTGGAGAGTACGCTCCATTGTGGTTGCCTCATTTATGAACTCTGCCACAGTCGTCGGTGGATTGCGCACGAGTCCGGAGAAGAGCTGCTCTTTTACCACACGCATTAAATGCCGCACCTTCTTTTCCTCGGACATTGCAGGGTCAGCGCGCTTGAAGAGTCGCAGCATGTCCTCGACAAACATCGAAACTCTCTCGTTGGGTCGTTGGTTACGAGACGAGATAGCCTGCTCTGCTCTCTCTTTCCTTTCAGTGCTGCGGTACGCATCACGAAACTGTCGGCTGAACTCATGCCACGTCGCAAAGGAACCCTCGTGATTCTCGTACCACGTTTTGGCAGAGTCTTCTAATGCAAAGTAAACTCTCCGCAGCTTGCGAGCTTCATCCCATTCGTTGATGTTGGCAACTCGATTGAAGTGGTCAAGCCAGTAGTCAACATCTTCATAAATGTCTCCATGAAATGAGCGTGGTGTTTGCGGCGCATGAAAAACATGCGGGAGAAAAGAATAGGCGTCGTTGGTTTGACTCGCCTGGTTGTTAGTTGAGGTTGCCATCTCGTCTTGAGAGAGGGGACCATACTCGGGAGATAGTCCTCGCAGGCGGCGACTGCTTCTTGCCGTGGGAGCTGTAGCTGTCTCCAACTAGCTCGGTGTGTCGGCTGAAAATCTTCAGCCGAGGCGCATTTACCCAGCACCTCCACCAGTGCCGCGAACGTAATAACAGACAGCGACGAAACGACGTCTTGCTTGCCCTCAGACCAGGACGCAAAGGCCCTCTTCTTTCTTCACTTCCAAGGGATTCCACCTACAGTCGATGGCTCATACTCATTACCTGTGACAATATAAACGACACCACCGATATAGATTTAGAATCCTCTCTGTGGTAACCGGCGTAGGGATTTGTTTCCAACATGAAAGAGTCAGCGTCTGCTCCAGCGCATAAATCATGCGCAAGCCGTCAGCTTACATGAAATATGCGCTCCCTGCATGCATTCAGGCAAAATTAACTCTAAAAGATGTCCAAGCTTCAATAGGAAGAAACGCTCGCTAGCTTGCACATGTTTCCGGGCGTATCAGGGCACCACACGCGCGTTGCGTAGCGGGCTTCGCATACGGTCGAGTTGTGGTGGGGAGGCGCAATGGCGGCGGTCGTAGCAGACGACGCGGGTGTCCTTACCCTCAGCGGAGCGCGCGGGCATCAAGGCACCCAAGAGAAAGTAAAGCCCCTATAATATAGGGGCTTTAAGAGAAAGCCGATGGGGGCGCCATCTCTAGGCAGGGCAGGTCACTGCATATCAGTGATAATTTCCTGCTATTCTTGAGTAGCGCAGCGCCATTTTCAGCCGAGCAGCGCCGCAGTGCTCAACTCTGTCAAGTGAAGGGTCTGAAAGTCGAGTCGAGGAGCGTTGATGAATACGGGGGTTAGAGGTGGATGCTATCATTCTACTTGGAGCCCGTATACCTTTCACATTTACCTTAGCAGCGACAAGTGCCTCCTCTCTCTCGACACTCTCCCACGCGCGGCCGGCGTGTGCCGCCATGTAGCTAGAAGGTTTACAAAGCCACGTACGTTTAAAAAGACAGTAAGGAGCAGAACAATTTTTCGCGTAGTAGTGAAGTACAATTAGACAATCCCAATAACACCACTCTTACCGCGACGCGACGCTTCGTGAAAACGCGCGAAAAGAAGGTGCGGGTGGAGACGCCATCTTGAAGTTCCCGTTGCGTCATAAATTCTGAATCGTCTACTGTGTCCTGCGCACCTTCTAATCGATAAAATTGAAGTGCGTTGTCATCTGTGGGTGCGATAGACGCAGCATACGAAGTTTCAGAAAAATTCAGCGAGCCAACGTAGCAAAATTAAGAAAAATACATTTTGAAAATTTTGACGTCACGCGCGGAAATTTCAGCGCTCAATTTTTAAATAAAATTTCAACCTTGATTTTCTTCGCTAATAATAAACTTATGTTAGTGAAATATATGGCATTAGAGTTATCAAAGTGCAGTTTGTCAGTCTAAACGAAATCATTGTTCCTCTTTAGTATTACCTTAAGTACATTAACCATGCACCTTTCAGGGAACAATATGAGATCGCGGCCAGCATTTCCGCCCCGCTGATACCCTTTCATTGGTGAGCGGGGGGAAGGCGTCCCCCTGTTGTTTCGCTTGGCTGTTGGGAAGAACATGGCAACCGAAAACGTGCGTTGCCCAGTGAGACTCAGCGGCGTCGCTTAAATGGGTTGTCGCTACCTAACAAAGAAGAGAAAACTTGTAGGGTATACTTCCGCTAGCTAACAAGATAATAATAGCAAATTTAACGAAAGATAACATCAACTGTTTCAGCTACAACGCTGAACATTTCACTAACGAATTCTTCTGACTACAATGCAGATCAATGGCAAGATGACCCAGGGAGAAAACATCGCCGACAACGGAGGACTCAAGCAGGCGTACAGGGTGAGTGGCACAAGTTACGTCATCCACTGTCACTTGGATGCACACGTGCAATAGAGACCCTTTGGAATCACGTGGTCACTACTTTTGAAAAGTACTTACGAAATGAAGGTAGCACACACGAATGAGTAGCGTAGGCAGATATTTGTTGTGGTAGGGGCATGTTCTTGATCTGAAATGTGGGCTGGCCGTACAAGTGTGGTCAATTTTCGTTTTGTGCTCTGTATCTTATGGTCAAAGGAAATTTCGGAAGGGGCCAGTGCCCGGTGTACCACCCCTAGCAACGCCACTGACACCGACGAAAAGATCCGCCTGTTCAATTTTATTCATCTGTCCTGATTTCCACCCCTCATTTCACCACCAGCACCACCACCATCATCATCCTTATCATAATAGTAATAATCATCATCATGATAATTTCGACTACGCCCAGAGCAAACCAAAGGCCTCTCCCACGTTCCTCCAATCAACCGTGCCCTGTGCTTGCTGCTACCACGTTATATCCGCAGACATCTTGAAATGTTCCCGCTATCCACGATGCACGAGCACCGTGTCAATTTCCCGCGACAAAGGAAACTCCGAAGCTAATCTCGAAGGCCCCGCTCTCCTCCCGCAGGCGTACAAGAAGTGGGTCAAGCAACACGGCGAGGAGCCCCTGTTGCCCGGCATCAACCTCACGCACGACCAGCTCTTCTTCCTCAACTACGCCCAGGTTGGCTTTCATGCTTAGTATACCACCATACTCGAGACGAGCCAAACAAGCTGGCTAAGGTGCGAGCGCCCGATTACGCAATCGCGCACTTACGTTGCTGTCTTTTTTTCTTTATTTTTTCTGTGGTTCTCTTGATCTACTTGTTCCATGTTGGAAATCGTGTTCGTTCGTCATCTTGAGCCCAAATTGCGTTTCAGTCACCTTAAAATTGAGTTTATCTTTGCTGATTTGGTAAGAGCACGTGCGCTGCATCGTTTTATCGAAACCATAGAAATTTCCCGCACTGCACTTGTTCACGCAGCGACAAAACTAGCGCTTTCATCCTGAACAAATATATTTACAACTAATTAATGAATTCTCATAAACGATGAAAGTACCCTGCCATCTATCGCGAGCAATATGCACTAGGTTTATTTCGTATAACACCGTTTCTCTAAAAACTTGCTTCGTGACAGTGGGGACCCCTTTGTACAGAGTGGCATGGAGCGGGGGCCCTACGTTAATCGTAAACAAAATATGCGTAACTCAGCGACATTGTGCTTATGCGGTATGTGAGATATGCTGTCGGTACTGATTTTTTTCTGTCATCTTTTTTTCTTCTTCCAGATATGGTGCGGCTCGATGCGTCCAGAGGAAGCCCTGAACAAGATCAGAACATCAGTCCATTGTCCAGGACCAATAAGGTTAATCCCGCAACGAATAGCTGTCGCTCGATGGACCAAACTGCGCGTTATAACGCAAATAGTACTCACTTGTGGAAGGAATGCTAGCCTGTTCGGGAATAGAAAATGGCTACACAGAAGTTAAAAATACCTTGCACTGTCATACTATATCTCCAATTCTTTTGCAAGGGAGCCTTGTGGCCGTTATTTCTTCAGCTATTCCGAGTGTGTAGCCTCGTAGATATCGTCGAAGTACCTTACAAGACGTACACAAATCTGTCTACAAAGACAATATAAGATTAACTTATACGTGGAGCGCAACTTTTTTCTTTGTGCGCGCAATCGATGAACCGATGCGAGAGAAAACATCGCAGAAATCCAGAGTGAACTAAAAATGAAATGTGTTGAAATGAAGGACCATTCATTTCAACCGAGATCCAAGAAATAAAATAATTAAGGCTCGGAACGCTTTGTGAAAAGACAGCCTAAAAAAGGGGGAGAGAAGAAGAAGGGGGCACCGTGTGTGTAACTTCACAGGTATAAGCATAAAAAAAACAAAGAAAAGTGGGGCGAGGCTTTATCGCAACGACAAGTCGCGGAAATATCCAACGTTCACTTACAACACCGGTGGTTTCGTGCATTCGCAAATTAGTATGATTACCCTAACTGGTGCACATTACAATTGAACTGTGTATGATTTCAGTGTGATGCTGATGCTGATGCTGATGACCTCTGATGGATGGCGCTTACCCACAAAGGGGGATGGGCCAAGAACCGGGCGGCAGGATACTTAAATGAAACTAAACTGAAAATGAAGCCAATCTGAAAAAGAAGCTTAAAATAATACTACCAAAAAACAAAAATGTGTGCTGAGCAAGCGGTCAAACCATCTTTTGTTTTTGAAAGACATAACTACGAATTATAAACTAAAGATCTGAAAAGGTAGTGGTTCACTAGCATGGTAATCTTTTAGTTGCGTTGATGTAATCAAACACAGCGGAGCATACATCCCTGTGGCAGTAACCAAATGAAGTTCCGCCAAATGATAAAATTACTGGTAAATTTACTTGTATTCAGTGAGAGTTTTAGAGCTTTGAACTTCCTCTTTCTCATCTGTTGGGCAGCTCTTGTTAAGGACTAGCAATGATTAATTGAATTACTGCCGAAAGCCTATGTAGCCTATGTACACGGCTATTTTATGTGAAACTAAGCTCATCGAATAGAGCACACCAAGGACTGTACGATTTATTCGTTTGCACTAATGGCAGATTTGGAAACGCTCCCTAACTCCCGTTATCAATATCTGCCACCTGTGTAATCTATTTGCCGAGTGATATCAATTCTCGTAGACACTTAAGCTCGTTCAGATTCGTGTGTGTTACATTTTACCATTTGAATTTCTTTCGCGTTTCGGCAATCGCGTTTATTGTAGCTTGAGGGAAACCCTGCACACCGCAACAGATCACTGTTTGAATACATACAGCAAACGTACAGTTCATATACGTATTAACCAATGAGGTTTAAAAAAGATGCTGGAGTGGACATTCTTGCCCACGAGTGAAGCAGGGCCAACCATAAGGAGGCGGCCGCGGCAGCCATCTTACTAGGGGCATGATAAGCTGTTGGCGTAAGGGCAACCTTTCCGAGTCAGAAAGTGCTCAAAGTGCGTCCTTGTGTGACTAGTTTCCTTTAGTAAGCCTCGAATTTAAGGGAAATTTTATTGGAGATTAAGTCGCCGATACTAGTCTCTGCGGATTATTTCTTTGAAAACAACTATCTCTTGATTTATAATTATCGTAGCCTTTAGACTAACAAATCAAAACCACTTGATGTCTATGTGGGCACCACCAGAAAATAGCACGTTTTTGAGAGCTTTGGAGGGCAAAAACTGGCTTCACTACTGCTTGCAAAGCAATGCGGGAGCTCCCACTCCAGCAATTTTTTTTAAAACCTCCTCGGTATTAACTTTTGATAAATTTTGAGATTGAAAAAAAAAGGGGGGGGGGGGGGGGTAATGACGTAGCACAATAGCAAGCTATATCTTATCTCGGGCCCAACTGCTATTTTTAAGCGCCTATAAACCTTAGAAGTGAATTTAAAAGACGATCGATGTACCGTGATGTACAGCTGTATCTTACAGAAAAAGAAAATAACTTCATTTCTGTATGTTGGACCTAAAGCGGACATTGTCAGGTCATTGTGAAGAACGCAAACTGGTAAAAACTGATTTTTTTTATCGAGTGAACCTACCGCCACCGAAAAAAAAAAGTACAGGGCTTGTTGTAGAACGACAGCTCGAGTATCAGTCGTCGACAACCTGATCGTCATTGAAACGCGCCAGGTTTTACGCAAATGTGGTAGCCAGAAGCGCAGCCAGAAATTTTTTTCAGGGCCGGGGGTGGGGGTTGTTAAATTTTATTTCATGTATGTTCGCGCGTGTGAGCGTGAATATACACGCAAAATGGGAAAACTTCATGACGGTTTGAACCCACACCCCTCCCCATAGTGACGCCCCTGGTCGTCGCACATTCTAACTTTTTCAGCCGCGGAAGTTCTTTCAGGCAGCACTCAGCTATGTACGCGCAGTGATCTGAGCGTAACATTCAGAAGCGTTTTACACGGTGAAAAACAGTTGCCACGAAAAAGGAAAATATTACACTTCGTTATATATATATATATATATATATATATATATATATATATATATATATATATATATATATATATATATATATATATATATATATATATATATATATATATATATATATATATATATCACCATCGAAAACGTCACTAATTTTTGTGCCGGGATCTTCGATATATATATATATATATATATATATATATATATATATATATATATATATATATATATATATATATATATATATATATATATATATATATATATATATCGAAGATCCCGGCACAAAAATTAGTGACGTTTTCGATGGTGATATTGATGTCCTCTGCCTGATTTCGTGTGAAGATGATGATGATTCCATAGCCATGGCTTGTACCCACACAGGGGGATCGGCCAAGAATCGATGACTTAATTCAGTAAGATTTTTTTTTTTTCAATTCAATATCGAAACCACCCACCGGAGAAAAAAAAAAGAAAAGACACCCTAGGCAGAATGAAAGGAGTGCGATAGTTGTTTGTCACTCATGCAGATCAGACAATCATTCATTACCTTGAATAGTAATTAGCGTGGTTAAACAAAGCTCCTGTTTATGTTGGCATATTTTTTGCAGGAATAACAATCACGTAATTAAAAGCTTAATTTTTTTTACTTTCATTAAGTGGCGTGTGATGCGTCAATTTTGTCGTCTTCAAACGCGAAGTTAGAACCCGCTAGCAAGACTGCAGTGTGATGCCGTTTTTTCTTGCTGACTTGCAGCGTTGTAAACACTATTCAAACTTCAAAGGAATTCAAAAATTTTCGACAATTTTTTTTTTTAATGACAAAGGCTAAATTAAAGATCTCATTGAAATTGATGATGAAGTTTCCCGGAAATAGTATTGCCGCATCTCAACGTTATTTAGATAGGAGCCTTCAGTGCCCAATGCATTGCCGTTGTCAACGCCAGTCAAATCTAGATATAACGAACAGGTATTCAACGTAGTACGAGTTGCAACACTTTTTGTGTTGCCATAGACGAAGTGTTGCGAATACTCGCTTATAACGAAGTTTCAAACATGACGAACCCCCTTTTGTGACAGATGAGACTTCTTTTTGATGAAGTTTAGTTGTACTTAGAATTTCGTGCGCAAACTCGATAAGTTTTCTCGACTTGTAGATTAGATAGCGCGTATTGGCGCGGTACATTAAAGGAAGAAACATGACACAAACGCAGGGAGATGATAGCGTCTATCCGCCCCTTCGTCCGCCGCGTTGGTGTAGCAATTACGTCACTAGTATAGCGTAGCATACTGTAGTATGCTATACTAGCGGCTTCAGTGAATAGGAGGAGCATTCGCTTTCTCGCCCTGTGCGCTGCCATTTTGCAGGGTCCTCGGCCCGCTGTCCAATTCGTACGATTTCTCTCGAGCCTACAACTGCGCCAACATGAGCCGCATGAATCCAGCCAAGAAGTGCTCCGTCTGGTGAAGGGACGGCAGCGTCGACGAAGGAGGACGATACACAGACCTCAAGCGCTCTTTCCTTGTGGCGCGAGAACCACTCAACGTGCGTGTGCGACACCTGCGCGAGTCTGGACACAAATGCTGCCCGGCGACTGCAGTGGCCCCTTCGCAAGCGCTAATCACAAGTGTCGAAGTGTGTGCCCGCAAGCGACCGATTCGTGTTGTTATTTTCTTGGATCGAATATTGGCAATGCCAAAGAGAACTATGGCAACGCCTGCCCAACTTGGTTCACAGGGCGGCAGTGGCCAGTATGCTTGTGTCGGGTTCAATGAACTATACACCACGTTTGCACTCGCGCAGTCTCGGGATCACGATGTCAAGCTTGTAAAGAAAAGCGACAAGCAACAAAACGCACCTGCTTAAGCAGTGCTTGTAATGCTCTTCATGTACACGCATGCTTCCACAACATGGAGGCAGGCAGCGACTTTTTTTGTCAGCGGGTGTTTTTACATATCAGTCTTTGAAGTTGTTAGACGTGTGTCAACTACAACCTAACGTATAGTCGGAAGTGTGCTTTGAACGTCGCGCTAATCTGGGAGCCGCGGCTTTAAATTCCCCGCATAGGGAAAATGTGTATCGCAACGGCTCTGCCACTTTCTTTTACCAGAGTCCTTCAGTGCTCTCACTGCTTTTTCTTTGTTTTTTTTTTTTCGTGCTGGAATGCATTCGTGGTGAGATATGCGAAGGACATTTGGCAACTCATCCGCTTTTCAGTGAATAAAAAAATCTTTGTCTTAAAAACACTCGACGTTGTATTTTTTCAGCCTTTCAGCTGTCTACATGCGGCACTTGGGCGCACGCGACACGGTCAAACGGCCGCACGTGTGTGTGATAAGCAGTGTTGTATCCATTACCGAAAAACGTCATAGCTTTTCTGCAAAGGCGAAGCAATTAACGCGAAGGTCACGCGCAGAATAACAAGGAGACCGAAACGTGCCCCGCGTTTGACGCACAAAACGCACCCACAGGTAAAGACGAACGCGAATAAGCGTCTCAGTTGTTACTTCACTGTGTCTGAAAAGCGCACCCTTTTTGCAAATGGAGACTGTGCAACCATTGCAGTGACCTTTGTGCGCCCGGTAACTACAACAGAATCGTTCAAGTGAAAGCCCAACCGCCAGCCAAGACGTACGATCCTCCCCACCGCAAGATAAGGGTGCGAGAAGGTGCGACCACCCCCCTCCTTTCCGCAGGCCAAAGTACGCGTGGGTGATGAGAGCGGGCGCCACCGCGTCGTGACGATGTGGCGACGTGTACTCATTGCGCCATCTTGCTGGTAATGCTGAAAATACAATAGTTAACCCCCCCCCCCCAGATGCCCGTCGACAGTGGTGAGTGGTAAATATGAATAGCTTGCCGTTCGACCATTGAAGGAGCTGCTTCTCGGTGGCTCAGTGGTTAACGCCTCGCATTCACGATTCAGAAGTCCCACGTTCGATTCCGCGCACCGGAGTCTTTGTCTGGATTATTTCTCTTTCTTGCGTTTACATATATATAGATACGTATACATATACGGCAAGTGACGATGACACCAACGCCGGCGGCAAAATCCAGCGAAGAGTGTCCATATAATTGCTATAGTAATAAAAAGTAACTAAATATGTTACTAGTTACACCAACCAAAAAAAAAACGAACGTGTTACTGCCTTATATTACCTACAATAAAAGTTAACATGTAGCATCTACCGTTATTATCATAAATTTTAATGTGTCTTTGCAGCAGAAACCCAAAATAGCAATTTTTATATGCCCAATTAATGTTTTACATAAAACTTGCAACACAAAACAAGGAGTACATTCAATACGCTCATTAAAGAGAGTATTAGTTGTACAAATGTACCGAACCTTAGCAATGTTATGGAAGCTTAAACTTGCCTGTAGAGTTACATGTGATCGCTTGCGACTCTGTGGCACCCGGCAAAACCGTTTTTTGTTTCATGCAACATTATACACAAAATCAAATTATTATTAATCCACGCTAGCCACAAAGAAACATTCACTAAACTCGCAAGAAATTCACAGTAACCCACTTTTTTTGGGTCCGAACAGCCCACCTCCAGTGGAAATCGTCGAAATCCACGGAATGAATGATCATAAGTGGGCGAAGCTCGAGAGGGGGAGATCATCAATAAACTATAACTCTCCCGGGAAAAGTTAGCCCATTACATCATTAGAAAGACATAAGAGTTTGCATATATTATACAAATCAACTTTTATTTTGTTCTTGTTTGTTGTTTCGTTTATTCCCAAGTAAAATTTCCTACTGGCTTTCTGCTGCGAGCTACTAGTTTGTACTGGTTTTGGGTGGAACCAGCAACAAACCTACTGGTTTCTTGCTGCTTGTAATGGTTACAGCAGTGTGCTTACTGGTCTTCTTCTGGTGCCAGTAGGGTGCCTTACGGTTTTTTGCTTGTACTAGCAGGCAACCCATTGACTGTACTGGTCTCAACAGAGTGCTTACTGGTATTCTGTGCTGGTTCCAGCAGATTACTGGTTTTCTCCTGAGATGCTGCTGGAACCAGCAGGTATACCTTGCTGATTTCAGTTGGCAATGCCCAGTTCCAGCAATGAATGCACCAGTGAAAATATAGAATCGCTTGCATCCATCAAGGTGATTGATATTGCCACATTCCCTCCTTCAAGTTTTGTTATCACCCATTTCTCTGTCAGTAATTCCAGCGCCAACTGCACCTACAGTGTTCGAGAAGCTTCAGGACTGTATCAGATAATTTTGTTAATAATTACGGCCACTTCGTGAACATGACAGATTATTCTGGAACCTACGTCACCACTAGCGATAACGCTAGAATATTCAATATCAACTGTATAAATCCCGACGCGCTTCACTGCTTGTCAGTTGGTTGATGGCCGACGCTCTGCTCGTTGCTATCAGTGCCAGCGTCTTACTGTAATCCGATTTTCCTTTTCGTGGCCACAAGTTTGGTCGAATAAACAGTTTAACCTGAACAGCCAGTCTGCTTCCTTCGTCCGTGTCACGGCCCCGTGACAATATAGTGAGCTAGTTCGTTGTGATAGTTGGCATTCATTTTTGCAGTGCAAAAAATACATGCAGGACAGCCTGGGCTCTCTCCATAATGCATATATTCGTGTCTTTATTTATTAATTTTTTTAGCTATAGAGCTGAACGCCAGTCATTACTAAAGATGACTTAGAATCACAAAGCGCGGATTGTTTTCCTTCTCTCTTTCTCACATGTTTCCTGAGCTCCACTTCGCGCAGCAGTGTTTTCGTTTAACGCTCGCCTTTGATGTACTCGATGGTACGGCCTGCCCAAATTCTTGTGGCGCCTACCCAACCTGTAGAGTTTATGACGACGGAGCACAAGTTCAAGGGATACTGAATGAAAATTGGCAAAACTTATGGAAACATAAAAATTCTACTTGGCAGACATGACCGTTTCGTTAAACAGAACTCATTTACAATATTTCAAAGGTGGTGAATTAAGCTAGCTTCATTGGCGAAATCAATTGGTGCTGCCCTAAAACTCAAGAGCATCAGTTGGTTTGCTTGGTAGTCCATTTCTAAGACCATGCGACTAGGAGCAACTGAAAGCATCCAGAACATGTCCTGGCATCCATTCTTTAAACACTCCTTGGTAACTATTGTGCTAAGAGGCATCAATGTTACCTCATTTATTATCATTTTTTTATGCACCAGGTAACTGCTACGAGGTTTTTCATTTTTCTTTTTACATACAAGTGTGACACCTGTAGTATAGCCGTAGGGTTATCTCTCCATAGTTACCATGACTAGTGATACATGAGTTGAATTGAGATATTCTTCAACTACTTTTTCCGTCACAGACCTGGCAACACTGCCAAAAAATAAAAAAGGCCAAATTGACACATAGGTACTGTGGATGAAAACATATAAGCAATAATAGTATTAATATTTGACTGAATGCAGTTAGCAAGCGACACTGTACGATGAGTGACCTGAAGTATGTTAAAAAAATTCAAAGTGAAAAATAATTTTTAATCTGCTACGCAATGATAGGGATGTTAACAGCATCAAGAATTAACCCACAAGAGCTTGAATTGCACAATAATGTTTGTCAGTTGCGGTTTCACAGAACGGTGTTCTCACACACGCCAAACAATGTACACATCACAAGTCTGTGAAGCACGTCATTTGTCAATAGTAGTTGACTGCCGGAGAGTGCAGCACAAACAAGCTTGCCCAGGGACTGTGGCGGTGGGCCAAGTCAGCTGGTCGGTCACCTGCACGGCTCTGTGCTTCAACATTGATGAATGGCGACCACAGTAGTAGCTCGAGCAGGGCCCGTGAACGTGCTTGACTGGCCGCGAGGTGCAGCGGCGTGAGACCACCTTCACTCGATGCATTCACATCAGCGCCCCGGTCAACTAGCAGCCGCGCACAGTTGAGGGAGCCCCACTTGCAGGCTGAGTGCAGCGGCCGCCAGCCGTCAGCTGTGGGACGTTCTAGGGTGTGTGGAGCCCTCTCTAGCAGCAGCTGCGCAGCCTCCACCTGATCGGCATAGCAGGCTCGATGCAGCGCTGTATAGCCATCGGAGTCTGTGCGTAATGCCAATGATGGGTCGATGTCCAGCAGCCGCTCAAGAGTGGCCCTATCGCCTTTCTCTGCAGCACGCCGCAGCTGCTGAGCTGCTGCTTCTGCATGTGAATTGAGAAAGCGTGTCTCCCATAGCACTTGCTTACCACATATCGAAACCAGTACAATGGATGTGACAAAAGAGAATTAGTGAATTGGCCATGAATAACCAACATGGCTGCCACACACAGCAGCCAAGCTACTTCATGGAAATTCAACTCGCTCGATTTATATTATACCTTTATTCTGAAGGCTACAGCTCAGCAGCACATATAACTGCAATGTTATGACATGAGTGCCTGCACCATGAGGAGTGTTCATCATAGGCTCATAGTCATAATCATCATAGTAGAGTTCATTTTGGAACTAACATGGCTGCCAACTATAAGCCTAGAATCTTTGATGCCGAATGTATAAATGCCGGCCAACGATTGTTGTTGCTTCTATCAGTGTACACAGCTGATTGCTTGTACAGTGTTGACATCAACACCCATATCTAGAATGACGAAGCGTCGCACTCAGAGCTGCACAAGCGACAACTACAGCAGTAAATAAGCCCCATCTGAGCAGGCACGGCACCAATGATACACTTTCCCTACATTTTTTATCCTAATCTTTCATTGCAGATGCAACAGCTTTGGCCGTTGAAAACACTCTCAACAGTTCAAGAGGTGGGTGAGGAAGAAAACAAAACAAAGTGAACCATTCCAAGCACCCTTTGCAAGCTGTGCTGCATGCTTCTGTGTTGTACTATCATTTCTACAAAACCAGATTTGGCCCTTCTTATCAGCTAAATAAAGATGGATAATTTTATACAGTTAACAGCGCTTCTGGCAGCTGTCACGATGGCTGCTATAAACAACGACGGAAACTGCAAGGCAGGCAGATAGTTGGTGCTCATGCTGTTTTGGGGTGCAACACTTCATTGTTCTAGACAAGAGTGCTCACTACTGCACCTTGACTTCTCATTTTCCAGGCACAAGTTTTTCCCAAATAAAAAGTTCCATAAATTCACAGTGTTCTAGCGGCCTTCTTCACCCTCAAAACCTTGTGACAATAAAACACTAGGGCACACCGTGACAATCTTCAGCACACAGGTTTGTCGTTGCAAGTTTTACTGAAAGAGCATGACCATGTTGCTTATACTGAGTAGCAGGGTGCACATCAAGGGTTACTTACAAAAAAATATAGCAAGATAAAATGAAAACACAAGTAAAATCACTACATAGGTCCTCTTGCCTCACTTCGTTCTCATCTTAGTACCCAACTTGAGTCCTCTGCACCGAGGTTTCAGGTGCATCAACTAATCGCAGCGTTTCTTTCTAACTCATCTGCTTTACAAGCAGGTCTCCCAAAAATGTTACAGCACATGCATGAGAAAGCACACTTTCCAATTAAATAACCTTGACCTTATACTGGTATACCAAAGTATTCTTTCCACTTAACACTCATCCTTGCAATATAGTCAGTCGGCCTACTTGGAATAAATCCATTTTGACATGATTTGTGAGAAACACTGAACAAAGCACTCTTCCTAGGGTCGCTCTTCTTTTAACCTGTGTTTCTGAGCAAATATTGTCAAGGTCAACTGATCCTTTCCTTTTCCACTTTCTCAATTTGCACCACAGGACTTACTACAACATGTGACAGACCCTAAGTAGGCAACTTAGGCCACGGCGGCAGACGGGCGTCCACACCCAAACTTGGTCTCCGGGGTTGTAAAACACCTCTGTGGCGGGTGTTACAGCGCCGTGCGTCTGCCTGCTGTTGCTGGCTGATGTGTAGTCGCGTGAGCTGCCGGGCTTCCTCAGCACGCTCTGCGAATTCTTCGGCATCAGTTGCACTCGTCGTCTTGCCACGATAGCATAGAGTCCAGCATGGTCTGCACTTCGCGGCCGTAGAGAAGCCGAAATGACGTGAATCGCGTGGTCTCTTGCACGGCGGTATTATATGTGAAGGTCACGAAAGGTAAGATCCAGTCCCATGTTTTGTGCTGTACGTCGATGTACATTGAGATCATGTCTGCGATAGTCCTATTCAGTCGCTTGGTAAGTCAGTTGGTTTGCAGGTGGTAAGCAGTTGTCTTTCGGTGTCTGGTGTTGCTCAGTTTGAAAACTTCGTCCATAAGCTGTGCCGTCAATGCCGTCTTTCTGTCCGTTATTATAGTGGAAGGAGCACCATGTCATAACACGATGTGGCACATGAAAAATTGTGCTACCTCAGAAGCCATGGCTCGTGGGATCACCTGCGTCTCAGCGTAGCGTGTCAAATAGCCGGTCGCGACAATCACCCATATGTTGCTGTCCACAGACCGGGGAAATGGCCCGAGAATGTCCATGCCGACTTGGTCGAGCGGCGTGCAAGGTGCTTCAATGGGCTGAAGCAAACCAGCTGGCTTAACAGACGGTTGCTTTCGGCGCTGACATTCCCGACAGCTCTTGACGTACTTCTTGATGCTTGCCGAAAGTCCTGGCCAATAGTACCTCTCGCTCACTCTGGCAAGTGTTCGTGAGTAGCCCAGATGACCGGATGTGGGTTCGTCATGGCAAGCGAAAAGGACGTCGTCTCGTATATCTCTAGGAACCACCAGGAGGTAAGCCCGGTTGTTCGAACGAGCGTTTTTCTTGTACAGCACACTGTCTAAAGGCAGAACAACGTCAACTAGCGGGATAAATGACGTGGTATGATTGTGCCCTGGCCCTCTAAATGATCGATGATCGGACGTATCTCTGCGTCATCTCGCTGCCGTTTGCTCAATTCTGTTGAGCTAATGGCAGCCAGGAAGCCTTCGAATCCTTCTGCTTCCTGACTGACTGCATGAAGGGGTGCGCGTGACAGTGTGTCAGCGTCTTCATGCTTACGGCCGGACTTATGGACGATGATGACGTCAAATTCCTGCAGCCACAAGCTTCACCGTGCTAGCCGTCCTAAAGGGTCGCGCAGGCTTGCCAACCAACAGAGTGCGTGGTGGTCCATCACTATCTTGAAGGGACGACCATATAGGTACGGGATAGAGAGCGACTGGCATAGGCTATCACTCTTTCGATGTCCTCTTGACGCTGAACGAGCACTGCACCGAGCCCAACGTTACTAGCGTCAGTATGGACCTCCGTGTGAGCATCATCGTCGAAATGAGCGAGAACGGGCGCTGATTGCATGCGCTGTCGCAGTTCATCAAAAGCTGCTTGTTGCTCATTTTCCCAGACAAACGGCGTGTCGTCCCTTGTAAGAAGAGTCAGAGGTTCTGCTATCTGTGAAAAGCCGTGAATGAACCGGCGATAGTAGGCGCACAAACAAGGGAAGTACCGGACGACTTTTTTATCGACAGGAGCTGGTGATTCGGCAACAGCGGCAAGCTTGTCCGGATCGGCCCGGACTCCTTCGGCGTTAACTACATGTCCAAGAAATTTTAGTTCTTCATAGCCGAAGTGGCACTTCTGTGGCTTTAGTGTGAGGTTCGCCGATCGGATAGTCTCCAGCACGCTGCGCAGGCGGTGAAGGTGCTTCACGAATGTGGCAAAGAAGACCACCACATCATCAAGATAGACAAGACACGTCTGCCACTTGAGCGCTGTGAGGACAGTGTCCATCATTCGCTGGAAAGTTGCCAGCGCTGAACACAAGCCAAAAGGGAGTACTCGAAATTGGTACAGGCTGTCTAGAGTCACGAAGGCTGTCTTTTCGCGGTCTCGCTGATCTACCTCGATTTGCCAGTACCCGCTTTTGAGATCCAGAGAAGTGAAATAATGGGCACAACGTCTATCTAGCGAATCGTCGATACGCGGCAGCGAGTACGCATCCTTTTTAGCCACGTTGTTAAGCTTTCGGTAGTCGACGCAGAAGCGTAGCAACCCATCTTTCTTTTTGACAAGCTATGACTGGAGATGACCACGGGCAGTTGGATGGTTCGATAACGTCATCGTCGTCAAGCATCTCGTGGACTTGTGTACGTATCGCTTCACGTTCTTTAGCCGACACGCGGTAGGGGTGTTGGTGTATTGGGCGTGCGTCCTCGTACCTGATGATACTGTGTTGAGTGATGGACGTTTGGCGGATCTTTGAGCATTTTGCAAAGCAAGACCTAAAATTGAACAAGATCGCTCGCAGCGCAGTCTGGTTATCGGTAGACAGATCAGGATTGATGTCAATATTACTCATTGACGTATCTGCATTATCCACTAGTTCTGATATCCGCTAGTTCTGACGTGAGACAGTTGGTTACGTTTGCTATTTCGTGCGCAAGCGCTGTCGAAGTGACACGAAAAAGGTGTCGATGCTCGTTGCTAAAGTTGGTAACGAGCAATTCAGATCGGCCATCACAAACCTGTATTACACTTCTAGCTATACAGATGCCTTGTTGCAGGAGGTGTTCTAAATTTGTCTCGGCCACCACATCGCCATCGCTCAAACCACGATTGATTGATTGATATGTGGGGTTTAACGTCCCAAAACCACTATATGATTATGAGAGACGCCGTAGTGGAGGGCTCCGGAAATTTAGACCACCTGGGGTTCTTTAATTAACGTGCACCCAAATCTGAGCACACGGGCCTACAACAATCGCTCAAACCACAGCATAATACATCGACTAGAACACTTGCTCGGGGAGGAAGCGTCACGCTCTGTTCAGAAATACGGAGTACGTCGACACGCCTTCCGTCATCCTGCACATTGATTGCTCGCAGGGCTGAGAACATGACGCAGCGCTCTTGCAGATCAATGATAGCTCCATTTTCCTGTAGAGAGTCAACTCCCAGAATGACGTCACGGGAGCATTCACATAGAACAAGGCAGCTTGCTACGAATGTATAACCTTGAATCTGTACTCTAGTTGTGCAGGCACCCAGTGGAGTATCGACATGGCCACCAGCTGTCCGAATCTGCGAGTTATGCCACGGCGTGATTACTTTCTTCAGCTGCGTTGTCAGATTCCCACCCAGTATAGAATAGTCTGCGCCGGTGTCCACTAACGCACTAACTACACAACCATCAATTGTCACTGCTATGTTGAGTGAAAGCCGGCTATCCTTCGCAGCAGGTGATGTCGGACCAGTTTCTGTCT